AGAACTAAAACTTAATTAACCCCGCTAATTATAAACACAGATTCTACAGGTTTGATGCCGTTGCATTTGTAAACACTTCTGGTCTTAAACAAATATTAAAACTGCATGCGAAGAAACTTTACAAAAGAAAACAGGGCGGGTCTAGTTTCCATGGCGTAAGAATTCAGAGAAAACACTCAAGCGGACATTTTGCATGTTCATTGTTGGTCCACTTAACAAAATAGTCAATAAACCAAAAATAACATGGTATATGGAGACCCTGGAAAAGTTGCTTAAACTGCATGTCCCGTTAACGCATGCACACGTCTGTCAAAGTTTATTATTATGAACCAAGGGCGGATCCTGAACCCAAGTTTCTTGGGGGCCAAAAATGTTTTAGTCCCCCCAAAAGTGGGTCCAAAATATTACAGCAATTTCTGACCATTTAAACCAAATCACTTTGAGGAAAAGATGTCGGTGGACGCAGTGCCTGCTTTTAGGGCAATGTAACTTTAAAAAACATTGGCTTCGTTTTGAAGGGAGGGAGGGGAGGGGGGGGGGGGGCTTGGTCCCCGTTGGCCATTGGATCCGCCCTTGTTATGAACAAGCCAGTAAAAAACACTCATCTAAACATGAATATCTAGTTTAAGGATTATCTGAGCACACCTCTCCCTGAGCAGATAGTTCTTTAAACTTGCTCTCTTTGTTTGTGCTTTTTAAGAAATTCATTTTTTGTTCTGACGAATTTTCAACAAATATATAAAAATACGTAGAAAACGGCCTTTTTATCTACAGGTGACTATAACTCTCTAAAACAAGGCTTTTACTTGGCTTGATCGATCTTTTGCGTTCGCACAGCTAGTGGACTGGTCCCGGTCCCTGCATTATCGAATGCAATAGGGTGGTGGGAACCAGCCTACAATCAGGCACCTGAATTCAGGCGGCAAAATGATACGAAAAATTGTACATTATTCCACGACTACATAAAAACGAACGTGTGCGCATTTGTTTTCTTGTTATTCATAAGTAGATAAGATTGCATGGAAAATAGCCATTTAAAAATACATGTAACTCGATTTCTGTCCCAGACGAATCTCGAAAATGGCATGGGGGGAATGCAACTTTAAGAGGCACGCTTTTTGACATAATTTTCTGCTCAAAGCAAATGACACCAATTATTGACAAACAATGCGTGCAATGTGTGGATGGCTGAGCACTGTATGGTTATATCAAATAAGAGCTGAAAAATGTGGCAAAGTTCAAAGGTAGGTCCTGAATGGTCACGATCTCCCCTTTCAGCAGACAATGACGTCACAATAAAGAAATGTATTACACCCTTTACGCCAAATGAAACGGGTGTTCAATCCTTTCAGCCGAGTACTAAAAGGTTATTTTTACCCTTTCAGCCTAAGATCAATGATCCCCAGTCGTCCAAAAAAAAACCCTAACCCTGCTCAATCCAACTACAGGCGAGTGAACAAAAACTTCAATGATACAAAAGAGCTTTTTTTTTCAAAACCAAGTTGAAGTTTTGAACTTCTTACACATTGTAAGAATGACATATTCGTTAGTAACACTGTGTGGAATTTAATTGCATGTACCGTTTCTTTTGTGAACCTTTTTTATGAGGTACACGTTGTGTCCACAAGGCGTCTAAAATTGCACAAGAGCACACAATTGTGTGTACCCAGAGCCGTTCTTTCTGCGAGGTTAAAACTGAGACATGCATTAACTTTAGTAAAGGGCAGTGCTGCGATTGTGTGAACAACGTAGGACACCGTATTACCCACAGAGAATCTTGAGTAAACATATTAAAAGAAGTGAAACAGAAAAACAATGAAACAGCAACATTCTGTTGCCTCGTGGACAAAATCGTACATCGCGCACGGCAAGTAAAAAGGTTAATAAAACACAAACGGTTAATGCAATTACTTCACTTTTTATAACACAAGGTTACAAACGAATAGGTAATTCTTGCAATGTTTAACCCCTTAAGGACGGGGTGTAATGGGGACATTCCTCCACACATAGAGCAAGTGGCCCGCATGACTGCACAGCCTTTGTGTGGTAGCGGGACTGCACAAAAGCAGCAGCTGTGGAACTACCCACTAGCTGTGTGCCACGGCATACCACAGCTGGCAACCGCATTCCAATGAGGATTAGCGGCCGCGGCCATGACCGCTTCCCGTGCGCATGGGGCTAAAAAGTTCGAAGCTTCAGCTTGGTTTTGAAAAAAGATGGCTCCTTTGCATCATGGGATTTTTTTTTTTTAACTCATTCTGTATTTTACATTTCCTTTTGATACTGTTGGATTGAGCAGTAATCCGTTTGTATATTATAATATTCCTGTTGGAATCTGTTGGATTCAGCAGGCAACTGAAAACATTCAGAGTCAGATTCTGTTGGGTACTGGTAAATAATGCCAAGTTGGACTCTGTTGGATCCAGCAGACAGCAGAACAAGTGGTCCCTTGGCAGCATGTGTCAACCTTCTGTGCGGTCGTTCCCTATACTTATGTTTTTTGTTATTAAAAAAAGTTTATTTTGTGCATTGTTAAACGACCTCAAATGACCCTAGTTGACCTTTGATCTCCAATACTCAAAGACTTGTGATGAACCCCCAGCCAAGGAGCACGCTATGCAAGTTACGTTAAAATCCATTAAATTCTGCAGAGAAAGAAATATTTGAAGCGTATTTGAACAATGACCTCTAATGACCCATACATGACCTTTGACCTCAGTAATCCAATGAAGAATTGTGGCTTCCCACCCAAGAATCACTGCATCCAAGTTTCATCAAAATCCATGGTAGCATGTTGAAGCTATACATTTTTTTTTAAAACATGACCTAAACTTGTTAATTGTATCATAATTGACTCATTTGACCTTTGACCTGTGACAATTGACCTGAAATATATTCCACATTATCTGTGGTACTCAATGACCCTTGTGTCCAAGTTTCATGGAAATCAGGCGAATGCTTGGGTAATGAGAGTTATTTGAAAAACTTTTAACATACGGACGCTGGTCATACAGAATTTAGGACTGGTACCGTAAGTGTCTCCCAAAACATTCGTTGGGTTGACACAAAAACGAGGCACGGTTGGATTCTGTTGGAGTCGGCAGGCCAGTCATTTTATATGTTGAGGTACCCAACAACTAGGCATGTTGGATTGCATTGGATTGAACAATAAACTCATTATGAGTAACCGTCATTCAAATTCATACAAAAAAAAAAATCAGTCTTGTAAAAGTAAAAAAATAACATGATAGGCCCTTAGGCCAAAAAAAAAAAAGGCTCCGGTTTCGGGAATGGAGCTTGCCCAAAAAGTGGTGCAGCGACGTGGCTTTTTTTTCTTTTTTACCTGATTTTTTTGCTTCAAATGTCAGCTGATGACTGCAAATGGTGGCCCACTAAACTTAGTGCAAATTATATGGGAGTCCAGGGAGGCCACATAAAGCTTATTCTCGACCATAACCCAATCTAAAAACACGTTAAAATTGTGCAGCAGCAGAATTCCAGTCAGACCAGTGAGTTTGGCGGTTTTCAGACATCATCTTTCATTGAAAAAAAAAACTTTTTCATTTTGCCGACGCGCATGGCTACGGCGACGCGCGCGCATACCAGAAACCGAATACTTTTTTTTTTGGCCTTAGACATAAAGAGCTTTTAAAGAATTGTTATCCAATTATAATACACTGATGTAATCTTGTGGACAGTTGCAAATACTGCATATTAAAATGTTGGATTGGGAAAGAAGTTTTATCAGAGGTCAAATAAAGTATTGTCGTAATCAACAGGATGGAGCAGATTAGCTCATTAAACAAGTATTTTTCAACGTTCTTACAAAGATCGCCTACACGGATTCCATGTAGTGCCCGCTTAAAGGGAAAATACAACATTTGCAAACATCGAAAACAAAACTACCGAATTGTTACGAAATACCTTACTAGGATGTTGGTGAATGACAGTCTAAAGCATCCTGTAAAATTATGGCACCTGGTGTGAAGTCATTTTCAAGACAAATTGAACTTTTGTATACATTTCCAACAGTCGTCGGCCGACCAGCGTTGGAAAAACCTAACTACAGTCGACTCTCGTTAGTACAAACTCTGTTAATACAAAATTCTGGTTATAACAAACATAAAGCCTTGGTCCCGACTGTGCATTTATGTGCACAATGAATGGGACTGATGTTCCTCTTAATACAAAATTCTGATAAAACAAACAATTTGGCTAGGTCCGACCGAGTTTGTTATAACGAGACTCGACTGTATTTTTCAAACTACTGCTCCATATTTCCAATTTTTTTTTTTCAGTCAAAATTTTGTTTGCTATTGGTTCTATGTTCATGAACGGGTGCAGGCCAGCTAGACTGGTTCCCTTACCTTACAATTTTCCGGCATTTTTGATCCATTTCATCTTTAGTAGAGTCGGAGAACCAGACTACTTGAACATGTTTGTTTTTCTTGGTTTTTGCAGCATTTTTGAACACAAAACTTCAAACATGTCAGTGTAACAATATTTGATCTATTATACTAACCCCCAAATTAGTTCGTTTCTGAAAATTACAGCAAAAGCCAATGATGTACATTCCCTTTAAATTCTCTATCACGTACACAATCTGGAACGTGGAGCTTCCAGGAAGCATTGCTGTGCGCATTACGTAAAATGCGTAACTGAACCCTAACCACCCTGAATCCTTGAAAAACCTCTTTGCCAACGTGGAGGAATTTGGAGGATTGAGGTTACATGGCCAAAGTGCGTTACTGATTCCGTAGGATGCACTTTGTTAAGGTCTTGGGCTGGACCTTGTGTTGTTTTTGCTCAGCCATGCATACATTTAGGCCCGGATTATGCTTGAAATCCTCCATACTGCTCTAGGATGTCACTGGCCAAGCATCAACATACTGACAGTCACTGCCGCAGGATTTTGCAGGATTCAGGCAGTGGTCACCCCTCCACGGACCATATTCAAGAAACAATGGAGGAATTTGCAGGACTGAGGCTACATGTATATGCTATTTTTCCATGAGGCCAATTGGAGGATTTTGCAGGATTGAGGCTACCTCCTAGCAAAAAGGCCTAGGGAGTTAGGTTTAAAACTCTCTGTAAATATCACTTCATATGAGTATTGATGACCCTTGAACGTACCGGTTTATGTACAAACAATGCGCTACCGGTTTTCCAGTGCAGTGGAGAAAGTTGGACGATGCCGAAAGGCTCGTAGCAAAAATGCCTCCAGAGAAAGAGTAAAATTGCTAGAACAGTAACAATCCCACTAAATCCACTTGTATATAGGTCGGTCGTCCACAATCTGTACTTCCATTTTGACCGGGCATTTGAACCAATGGGAAAGCAGCTCCTCTGTGTAGCCAATCAGGAAGTAGTATTTCTGCGGAGCCATATTTCGGAGCATGATGGCGACCAGGATGATTTGATTGGATCGTCGTTTGATGATGAGATCGGTGGCCAGACAGTTATGGAAGGTTCCGTAGATGAACTTTCGGATGAAGAGGTCGTCCACGGCAATGTCGGCTGCGCCGTGTTCGTCTTTGAGATGAGCTATGGGAAATGTCGGAAAAGGAGAATTTCAAATGGTGGCAAATAAATGCAGTGTTGTAATTGATGCGCGTGTGTGGATCACAAGTGCGTCACAAAACTGGTCACAAAATAACAAGAGGATTCACAAGTTCAGTCACAAGTAAATCACAAGTCAATTCACAAGTTTAATCACAATTAAATCGCAAGTAGATTCATAAGTTCAGTCAAAAGTAAATCGCACGCAGATTCCCAAGTTCAGACACAAGTCAATCACACGTCAATTTACAAGTTCAGTCACAAGTAAATCACAAGTGGATTCATAAGTTCAGTCACAAGTAAATTGCAAGTTGCTTCACAAGTTCAGTCACAGGTAAATCGCAAGTTCAGTCACAAGTTCAGTCACAAGTAAATTGCAAGTTGATTCACAAGTTCAGTCACAAGTAAATCGCAAGTGGATCCACAAGTTCAGTCAGAAGTGAATCGCAAGTGGATTCACAAGTTCAGTCACAAGTAAATCGCAAGTGGATTCACAAGTTCAGTCACAAGTAAATCGCAAGTGGATTCACAAGTTCAGTCACAAGTAAATCGCATGTGATCCACAAGTTCAGTCAGAAGTGAATCGCAAGTTCAGTCACAAGTTCAGTCACAAGTAAATTGCAAGTTGATACACAAGTTCAGTCACAAGTAAATCGCAAGTGGATCCACAGGTTCAGTCAAAAGTGAATCGCAAGTGGATCCACAAGTTCAGTCAGAAGTGAATCGCAAGTTCAGTCACAAGTAAATTGCAAGTTGATTCACAAGTTCAGTCACAAGTAAATCGCAAGTGGATCCACAAGTTCAGTCAGAAGTGAATCGCAAGTTCAGTCACAAGTTCAGTCAGAAGTGAATCGCAAGTGGATTCACAAGTTCAGTCACAAGTAAATCGCAAGTGGATTCACAAGTTCAGTCACAAGTAAATCGCATGTGATCCACAAGTTCAGTCAGAAGTGAATCGCAAGTTCAGTCACAAGTTCAGTCACAAGTAAATTGCAAGTTGATACACAAGTTCAGTCACAAGTAAATCGCAAGTGGATCCACAGGTTCAGTCACAAGTAAATCGCAAGTGCATCCACAAGTTCAGTCAGAAGTGAATCGCAAGTTCAGTCACAAGTAAATTGCAAGTTGATTCACAAGTTCAGTCACAAGTAAATCACAAGTCAATTCACAAGTTTAATCACAATTAAATCGCAAGTGGATTCATAAGTTCAGTCAAAAGTAAATCGCACGCGGATTCCCAAGTTCAGACACAAGTAAATCACACGTCAATTCACAAGTTTAATCACAATTAAATCGCAAGTTGATTCACAAGACCAGTCACAAGTAAATCGCAAGTGGATCCACAAGTTTAATCACAATTAAATTGCAAGTTGATTCACAAGTTCAGTCACAAGTGAATCGCAAGTGGATCCACAAGTTTAATCACAATTAAATCGCAAGTTGATTCACAAGTTCAGTCACAAGTAAATCGCAAGTGGATCCACAAGTTCAGTCACAAGTAAATCGCAAGTTGATTCACAAATTCAGTCAAAAGTAAATCACAAGTGCATCCACAAGTTCAGTCAGAAGTGAATCGCAAGTTCAGTCACAAGTAAATTGCAAGTTGATCCACAAGTTCAGTCAAAAGTAAATCGCAAGCAGATTCACAAGTTCAGTCACAGGTAAATCGCAAGTGGATTCACAAGTCCAGTGTCAAGTAAATCGCAAGCAGATTCACAAGTTCAGTCACAGGTAAGGCCAAGTTCGCGCAAGGACTATAGTTGACCAATGGTTAACTAACGTTTGCCCGAACTCTGTCTAGTCGACGGTGGTTGACTACGCTAGTCCACTATTTGGAACCAGCCTACTGGGGTTGGTTGCTTCGCTGGTAACCAATAGCCGCGCGCATTCATAACGCTAGCAGAGAGCCAGGATCCAGAAGTTTTGCGATGACATTTTGACCAGCATTCGACTAGAGACGTTCGCACGTTGCTATTAGTGCGTAAGCGTAAGGTACGTCACAAATCAACCACTAGTCGACTAACGGTCCTTGCCCGAACTTGGCCTAAATCGCAAGTCAATTCGCAAGTTCAGTCACAAGTACATGTACATCATATCCGGGACGGGTTCCAGACAAGTTGGGGGTAGAATCATTCACCTTGTCCAGAAGAAGCTCAGCATTTGTCCCAGACATGTTCCAGGGAAATTTTCAAAATAGAAACTGCTTGACTCACTAATAATAATAAACTTCATTGCGAGAAGATTGCGGGGAAGTTGTTCATAATCCTGCAACTTATACACGATACAAAGTCCGGAACATGTCCGGAACTCGTCCCAGATATGAATTGGGACGGGCTCTAAGAGATTAATATCTGTTGTAACGTCTTGTCTAATTTGAAGAATTTTCCTGAAGTTAGTTATGCTAGAGGAATAAATCATCTTGTCAGTGCAACAAGGTTGTAACTCCATTCTGCAACAAAGTCTTATCTCGTGCGAATACGCTCTGCGCAACAAGGTTGTATCTCAACGTCCATTGACTTTCGTGTGTACATCCGGGTTATTTTAAGTGAGATATGACCTTTTGACTTTCTGAATCTCGCGTTTCAGGTACTGCCCATTTTAGGAGATACGGACAAGACGAAATATTCAAGTCAAGCATGCCCCACCTGTGTGTTGGGCGCTCCAGCCCTTTCTGACGCCTATCTGGAAAGGCGGGTTAGCCTGTTCATATGTGATGGGCTTTTCTCCTTTGCTCACTCGGGCACGGCCGGCAACAGTCTTGCTGCATACTGCACTTGTTTGCAGACATCGGAACGGCAGATTGGACCGATGAATGGTGCGCTGAAGCTGTGGAAAGAAAGACAAGGTTGCTAAGTCAAAAAGTTTTCTAAAACCTGGCTACTGGAAAATATATACATCCTTGGCCCTACAGCCATGAGGTTAAAAGAATTCTACCAACTTTGGGGTAGCAGGATTTGGCAGATTGGAATGGCAGACTGGACCACTGTAGCATTTAAACAGTCATGACAGCGGCTGATCAAAACACTAACATAGAAATGGGGGTCTTTCACTTTACAATCGCAGAAATCGTACTAGGGCACAATTGCAGAATACCCTGTCAATTAATCTGTCCACCATGTACGGTCGTGGTCATAGTCGGCTTAGAAATCACGATTGACTGACCTAAATACACCTTCTCACTCCCACTTGTAGCCCCATAATTACCTCCGTAAATAAAGGCCACACTTGGAACATGTACCCGAAAATGTAGCACTTTGTCAAGTTTTTATTTTCACATTTAGACTTTAACCCTTACCCTACTAGACCCTCCAACGCATGCCAATATGTGCCTCAAGAAAATCTCCTATGTTTTTTGCATGGCCCTCCAATATCTGCCATGTCATTTCAAGGGTAACTGGACAGGCACTCCAATACATGCCACAGAGAACAATGAGAGTCCTCTGATAACAATCAAGTGCCCCCAGCTGGTCAGTATCAGGCACCCTCCAGGGCCTCCAACTCCTGCCAATTGGAGCCTTCACTGCTACATCAAAGTATCCTCCAATAAACTGCAGCTGGAGGGCATTGGCATAACCAACTGACATGCAGTAAACTACCCTCAGAGAGTAAGGGTTAATTGTAGTTTATTTACGCTTTAGAAGCATACTCATCTTCCTTATAGCAATAGAAAATTAGTCACCCCCATTTTCAGACACCCATATTTCCAGGTTCGTTTGCACAAGTTTGCATGTATCTAAAAATTCCAACACGAAATTACATGAAAAGCAGATGTCTGACTCTGAAAAAGGAGGGGACTATCGCTGTAAAGAGGGCGAGTATGCTTCTAAAGTGTAAATAAACTACAAAAAAGTCCTAAAGCTCCATAGACGCGGCGCTATAGGATCTTTGAGAATTCCTAGCCTAGGCCAGGAAGATTTTTTAAAAGGAAAATAGCGCCCTCTTTTGGATCTCCCGACTCAATCGGCACTCCGATCCCACCGACCTCTTCGACTACACTTTTATGGGGTAATTTTCGAGTGGTGGGACATACTGCAATTAGCATACTCCTTGAAATGCATTCCGGTATCAGATTATAGTAAATGTATCGTTATACGCGTATACGAGTGAGAAAAATCAATGAAATACTGACTGAAATAACCCGTGCTCCAAATCTCTGTAAGTGCATGGGAGTCGCCATCTTGGAATCTCCATCAATGCAACGACTGGGGGCGCTGTAACAGCAGGGCGGTTACGGAAAAATTGTGAAAAATTGGTTGCAGCTCGGTTGCATGGACAACAAAGTCGGCTTCGGATTTGTTTCCGCTCATGATACAGAAATGGTATTACTATTACATCTATTTGTTTTTCTTTTAAGGTGCTGTTCTTAATAATTATGTCCTTTTTATTAGTAATTATTGTTTTTTTTCAGCGTGTTTGATGGAAATATATATATTGTTTTAATTGTTGGCGGTTTGTTTTGACAACGAACTCCAGCCGGCCCAGGGCCAGGCGTACGATGAGCTTGAAATTTGGCCAAGTACAATTTATATTAAATCACGATTAGTGCAACTTCTGGAAAGAATGTTGTCTTAACATTGTCGCAGTTACACTCTGGTTGCTAAAATGAAAATATCAGCGACGGAAGTGTTCCAGACAGTTGTAGCTCAGGCACAGCTAGTCCGAGTAACTTGGACCCAACTTATCGCCTTTTTTAACATTTGGACATGGTCTGGCGATCGCCAGACCATGTCCAAATGTTAAAAAAGGCGATAAGTTGGGTCATCGCCTTTTTTAACATTTGGACATGGTCTGGCGATCGCCAGACCATGTCCAAATGTTAAAAAAGGCGATAAGTTGGGTCCAAGTTACTCGGACTAAGGCACAGCTTGATCCTGAAAAGGCTGTTGCCGACTGTTCTGTGTCATTGCAAGGTCGACCTGAGAGCGGCTTTAGTCTTACCTTGGCCCAAAAGTTTGAAATATTATATATGTACTATCAACCCCATTACGCCAATGTTTGGGCTAAATCCGGCCCATTGTGAATATAAACTTACCATTCTTAATCGATTGAATAGAAAGTTGGTGTGCACTAGGACCAGCTTTACATCAGGCTTACCCTGTCTTGGTTTCTCATTTACAGATGAACGACACTTTCAAAGGTCGTCTGCAAGACGCTGCATTAATCGATCCATACTACCTCAAGAATGGCACCGGTGGAGTGTCGAGGCATCACTTCTCTGAGATTCCCCATTATCTGCAGGGAAATCCGTTCATCCAGCGTGGATACCTGTCCCAGTTGTCGTATAAAAAGTGCATAAAAAGGTAGGTTTGTTTGTTGGCCAAACTTGTTTGATGTGCGTGAAGTGTCTGTTAACAAATATATCCCATTTTTTGGCACAATCCTCCAGGATAACTGCATTGTACAACATTATTCACATATTATTGGAAACGAACAAAAGGCATGACAAGCAAATTATCATATGCCTTTTTTTATGGGATGTATTATTATCGCAAACGTGCCATAGATTTTGTAATGACTTCTATTTTTGAAATGTTTTACCAAACAGTACTTTTCTGTGGTCTAACGAGACAGTCAACGTGTGGAGCCATCTCATCGGATTCCTGATCTTCTTAGCCTTGACGATTTACGATAACCTGGTCACCATACCAAACTTCAATGGAACGCTGAGCGACCATTTGATCTACACGGTCTTTCTGACATGTTTTCAGGTAAAGTTGAGAGATGGTAGCATTAAATCTCGCCATGTTGGCCACAAAAAAATAATTACAAAATATCCCAAAGAAAATTGGTTGGAGTAAACACATTTTTTCAAATTTGTGAAAGAATGGTCTGAATACTGTGCAAGATCTTGAATTTCATCTTCAATAATATAAAGTTCTGTCCATTACCTTTCACTGTAAAAGTTAAGCGTCTAATAAAGTACGAGTACTTGTAGACATTACTATTACATTTTTTTATGGTTATAGCTCAGTTTTTGTCACCGGAAAAATGAAGAAAGTGTGCCCCAAAAGAGCCAGTTCACGTTCACTTTTCATGCGAACGTCTTGGTACCATAAAACTCGGCAGCAACTTGTGCTTGTGTCTCAAAATTAAAACATCCCGAAATGCCAAGCGGCGTCACTTTTTGCCCTGCGTTTGCTGGAGTTCGCGGTCTCCCCAAATGTCAAACTATAAAAAAAAACCTGTTTTGGACGAACTCTCAGTGCTGAGATTTTTCTTGAAAAGTGAGCAATATGCTCCAGAGAAAGCCGTGGAAATTTTGGACTTAATATTTGTTGGTTTTTTTAATTAGAGTGTCATTTTTATGGTCTTTAACTTTTACATGGGATAATGGATATCTCGAAATATTCTCGATACTGGATTTCCGACATATCGATTATTGACAATTCTAATATCGACACTGTAGATCTTATGAACGGTGCTCAGATGCACTGGATTCCCATAAAATGGTGCATGTTTTAAGGTCAACTTGCAGGCTCTATTGTTTGAATAAAATGAATCTCGATCTCCAAAAATGTTACATTTCCTACTTTGCAATCAAATCATGACACTGAATTAAATCCCTTCGACTGAGTGAATCACATTTTCCTGCCATTTTTACCCATCTAGGTATACATGCTATGCTCTTAATCTGTGAAATTGTTCCTATAGTCCTTTATCATGCTGCCACCATTTCAGTCATGTTCCCTGTATCCAATAACAGCACTGAATAATAATGTTTTTATGCAAAACGGAACCAGACTATTTTTCCTTCTAGCCTCGCTTTGGTTACGTTGATTTGAATGGGAAAAAATCAAGATGGCTGCAACATGATAGTCTATTCTGTTCAATTTCCTTTTCAGAATCAATCGCCAATTTCCCTGATCATGAATAGCAGACTTTTCTTCTTTCTTTCTAGGTTTGTATGCTATGCTCAGCCGGTTTCCATCTGTTCCGTGTTCATTCGGAGGAAGTGTCCAAGCGTTGGTTTAGTCTAGATCTAGCTGGGGTCTCTGTCGGCATGCTGGGTTGCTATTTCCCTTCCGTCTACTATGGGTTTTTCTGCTATCCGGTGAGTACAAGAGAATGTGGAAAAAGTTTGATAAGGGATGTTATTGGTTAAAGGGACGATACAACATTTGCAAAAATCAAAAAACGAAATGATCCAATTATCACGAAATACCTTACTGATTGATAGGGACTGACATTCCCTTTAACTTGTGGTTGATTTGACGACATACTTTGCACCTGCACGCTAGGAGCGCAACGTTCGTGGGTGAGAAAGGCCCACGGGCAAAATTAATCACCCATGAGTTGGGCACTACCGAGTGTAACCCTCACCCATGTAGTTCCTCAGGACTACCCTGCTAAATCCAACAGAGTCTAACCGGAGTTTCCTGCTCAATCCACTGTGCCTTATTTTGAGTTGTCTGCTGAATCCAACGGAGTCCAACATGGCGTTATAATGCAGTTCAGTTGCCTGCTGAATCCAACATTTTGCATGAGGAATGTACACAAGGGGTTAACTGCTCAATCCAACAGGCTCCATCGGGTATATGACATAGTTGGATCCTGTTGGATTCAACTAACACCATCCAAGAAGTCTTCATTATTGCTTGAATGAAGGCCTTTGTGCATTTTCATTGTTTCATCGGTGATAAATTTGGTTTTAATTTTATCCAAATAATTTTTTTTTGGAAGTGAATAATGAAGCAACTTATTACACGTACACATACAAGTATGTCCACTTGTCTTGCAATATGTACATGCATATATAAAAACTTAATGTGCAAAAAAAAAACCTTACAAATTTAAAATCCCATCTAACGACCCTTCCTTTTTGGGCAATTTTACTGCAAACACAAAAAGGATTTTGGCCTTTGCATTCAAGACGCATGTTTTCATCCAAATGCTTTGACTGAATGTTATCAATTTTTGTATTGTGACTTGAGATTGCACACTTTGTTTTCCCTTTCCTGCGTGTAGTACTGGAAGAACGTCCACATGGTCATCGTGTGCTCCCTTCTCGCCATGACGCTGACCGTACAGCTTCATCGACGTTTCCTGACGTCCGCCTGGGCCACCAAACGGCTTCTACTATTCTGTATATCGGTAGCCTACGGCGTCGGGCCCAGTATACACTGGATATATCTCCATGGAGGGTTCCAAGAAGAAATAGTCCAAGTGAGTCTCCTTTGACGTTGCATGAACAGCAGATAGCGCTTTTGAGTATTTTAGTACTCGTACTCGGGTACATGTTTTTGGTACTCGTAATCATGACAAAGTACTCAAATTTTCTCCCGCCAAGAATTTAAACATTTTTTTAAGAGCTAGACATGCAGAAACAGAATCAGTTTTCAACTGTATGTGAGATTGGGCTGCATTTGTTGAACCCTCCTGCTGTGTGAACAGTCAAAGACAGTCAAAACATCAATCCTCTTCCCCTGCCATGACTTTTGCACAGGCTAGTCAATAACAGTCAGATCATATTTCAGGCAAGCACTCTGACTAGTCAAATTCAGTCAACCGACAAAAGCAGGCAAGTTGTAGGCTCAGCTGGCTAATCAATCACCTACAGTCAAAGCGTAGCTGTATCAAGTTACATAAACAGTCACAGCCAGTCAATCCTGCTTTATGTGGGCTGGGAGCTCTTAAAGATTGAAAACAGTCACTTGATTGATTTTGACTGCAAGGAGAACTTGGCACAAAATGTGTGTTTGCATAGAAGGGTTAGTTTGATAGCAAAAAGCCTTTGAAAGCACGCAACGCATTGAACTTCGCTCCTACTTGTAGAAAGTACTAGTACTGGCACTCATACTCGCACTCAAGTACTGCCTTGAACTGATAATCGTACTCATGAAAAAGAATTCATACTCGTAATCATGACAAAGTACTCGTAAACAAAACAGTGACCCTGATAGCTCCACGGAAAATTTATAAACAAAGGGCGGTGCCATATCATGGGAATAGATATACGGTGGCGGGTCATTTGTGTTGGTAATCAAACCTTTTCTTGGTTTTCCTTTCCTTTTGCAGATTTTCGTTCCAAAGTTGATACTAATGTACACCTTAGCAATCTTAGCCCTCTTCTTTTACGCTTCCAAGTTTCCAGAACGTTGCTTCCCTGGTAAGTTACGATGCACTTCTTCTTTTTTTTGTTCAGTTTACTGCTAACTTTTGAATTGTTTGATTGTCCATATTTGAAACTGGCAAAAGCTGTCGAAATTTCGGATCTTGCAGTGTTTCAGTATTAGTGTTTGTTTTTGTCTAAGTTGTTCATGAATTGCAATGAAGTCATGAAAATCAGAAGAAAAAAAATTGGAAAGGTTGTTTTCTGTTGATCAATGATAAATTGATGTTCCTTCTGCTACAAAACTTGATACTCAGAGAATCAGATTTGTCCTTTTTTTCACATCTGCTTGTCCGACTCTTTAATTCTACATCAGTATTTTATTCTGAGTTCCTATAGAAGATTCAAATGTGATTGAAACTCTTTGTAAGAGAATTACCCCGCCCCCCCTCCCGAAAAAAAATAATTGAAGGATTTTTCATTGATGTTTTATGCAGGTAAAGTGGACTACATTGGCTCCAGCCACCAGTGGTGGCACATCATTATCGTTATCGTATTCCTATGGTGGCATCACGTCGGAATCGAACTGGTAGAATACAGGACCAAATACCCATGCCTTAGTGAGAATGGAAGTCTATTATCTCTATAGCATGCATGCCTCTATTACCCATACCCAGAGGCTGAACTGCAATGGGGGGGGGGGGGGGGGTGATGGAGGCACCCCTTCCCCATTGAAGACCAGTGCCCCGCCCTCCACCCCAGCCCCGCTCAGAATTTTTGAGAAGGCCAAAATAGCATGTTATTGTGTAGAACTTATTGAGTGTCCCCTGCTGAAAATAGGGCCCTTAAACTCCGTCCCCCCCCCCCCCACCACCACAAATTGGACCCCTGTTATGCCACCCCCAATTACACGCCAACCCCCTCCAACCCCCCACCCTGCCCCCTCCAACCCCCCACCCTGCCCCTCCACACACACATGCATGCAAAAACCCCACCCACTCTACCCTCCCCCTCCCATATAAACTTGAATTCATGTACATGTATATTACATTAACTAGGTCGTGCTATTGCGATCTGGTACACGGTACCCTGGGTGTACTTATACATGTAAATGTTTTGTGCAATTTGCACATGTACAAGTTCAACTTGCAGCTGTTTAAATGCATGCTGTCTTCAGTGATAGAATATATTTGGTCCTAGAATTAATTAGGCCCCCCCAAAAAAGTCTCCGGTTTCTGGTATGGAGCTTGCCCAAAAAGTGGTGCGGCGACGCGGCTTTTTTTTTTTTTTTACCTGATTTTTTTGCTTCATATGTGTGCTGATGACTGCAAATGGTGCCCGACTAAACTTAGTGCAAATATATGGGAGTCCAGAGAGGCCACATAAAGCTTATTCTCGACCATAACCCAATCTAAAAACACGTTAAAATTGTGCAGCAGCAGGATTCCAGTCAAACCAGTGAGTTTGGCGGTTTTGAGACATCATCTTTCATTGAAAAAAAAACTTTTTCATTTTGCCGACGCGCATGGCTACGGCGACGTGCGCATACCAGAAACCGGAGACTTTTTTTTTTGGCCTTATGACAGCATTTATTAAATGTTTATGGAAAACCTTTCTCATTTTGGTCTTTTTCTCTAAAGAGTGCAATTGGTGGACAAATTGACAATGTCACCTTCCCACACATATTTGTAATCTTTTTCATACCCCAGTTTAAGATTATTTGTATTTACCTCAGTGCCCCACCTGTAATTTCTAATTTCTTTTAATAATTTTATATGAAATTGTTGATTAAATCCAACATCTTGCCGTTTTGTCCGATATCCCAATTCGTATCTCCTTTGTAGGAAATTTGAAGCTTAAAATGTAACTTAATTGGAATTTTGAGAGATGGCTGCATTGACGATCGATCACGTTTTCAAAAAGTGGCCCTGCATTTTCCTAAAATTTAAAAAGGGAATGAAATTTTAGTAAATGAAAAGTGACGTATGAAAATGTCTTTTAATATCACAATTTTTTTTCTAGAGCTATTTCCAAAAAAAATTTTGTCATAAAAATTAAAGAGAGTTGTTAAAAATAATAGTTAAAAACCAAACCCTCAGGTTTGTTGGCACCTACTGAAAGTATTTTAACCTTCTTATGTGTGGCTGCCATATTTATGTCATTTGCAACTAGGCTGAACTTCTAAGAACTAGCATGTATACACTAATTCGGGGAACAAAATTAAAAGCAATTTTTGAGGTAGCACCATGTTCGCGCGCATGCCGCACGTGTTCTTAAAGACGAGGCAGTGTGCGTTTCTCGGTAACCCTATTGGTTGAAGGAGCCCGCAGTGCGTGCGCACTACCTGAGCGCGACTCGCGCGAGTCTGAAGGGCGCGCGTACTACCTGAGCACGACTCGCACAAGCCTGGTGCCACCTCAGAAAAAGGCCGTCACTGAATGGAGATTTTTGAGACGGTGGTGGCAACAAACATACCGGTCCTTTTTCAATTGTTTACGTCATGTTTTAAAGCCAAAGCGTGCATGCTCAATATGACGCAAACAATGGAAAAAGGACCGGTGCGTTTGCTGCCACCACTGTCTCAAAAGTCTCCTATTAAGACCAATTTGCATTGTCGCATGACATTGTTGCATATATCTTTCAAAGGATATAGGTACAATTATGAATTCACATTTACGCGACGCAAGTCGTGCATTTTATCGCTCATTTATTTGTGCGTATTGTTGCGTATGTGTAAATTGGCCTTTATTCTATATAGGAAGTTTGATTGTTCAACGACTTTTTGTGGATGTGTTTGAAATACAATGCTGCGTTATGTGATGTGTACTATATCTTCCCATGTGGTCCATCGACATCCTCTATTTAGATATTTATCAGTACATGTACTTACACAAGATCTGAAATTATTTTTAGCAGATTTTAACTCAAATTTGAATTGTTTGGATCAACACCTTCAATCTACCAGACAGAATCATGACTTTTGTAATAGTCGCGTTCCAACTAATCCCCAGTAATTATAATTATTTAACTAGATTTGGTTATTTTGTTGAAACTGCCAAATTCCAATTCTTAGAATTCTGTAAAAGCAAATCAGAGATTTTGATTATTTTAAAATGCAAATCGATGTAAAGCTTTTGCTTGTGTACATTGTAATAATGTATGATGGAATGAGAATATATATATGTTTGATTGTTTGCTCGTTTAATGACTAAAAAAAAATTGGATGATAAAAACCGTCTGTGAAACTGTGATTAAAGTGTTTTCTTTCATTATATGATTTGTGGGGGGGAGGGGGGATGGATGGAGTCTAACTGTGTGATATAACGCCCCCCCCCCCCAGTCCGAGTATCACCCGTTGTCCACGGAGCCAATCCTGAACGTCTGGAATGTCTAAACATGCAGATATATGCAAGCTGCGCACCAGCCAATCGGAGTCGACTTTACAAAAAAATCGTGACGTCATTTTATTCCCAAATCAGGACTAATGGTTTGATTTGTCAATTCGAATGCATTTGTTTGTAATACAACATTCAGCTAGGCGCATATCGCGTAACATGATACAGAGCGTTAGCCCCATAAATGTGGCCTATTTACTGGACTGCCTTTGTAAACATAGGCCACACGTCCACATGTACAAAAATCGTGTCGACTTTGCCAAATTTTGATTTTCACATTTAGGCTTAGTTTGTAGGATTTTTTTGCTTTAGAAGCATACTCACCCACTTTATAGGCTAATCAGAAAGTGCTGCCTTTTTCAGATGTCTAATTTTTGTGAAATTTCATGTTGAAATTTTGATACGCAAACGTGTAAAAATGAATCTGGAAATTTCACGAAAAATATACATCTGAAAAAGGCAGCACTTTCTGATTAGCCTATAAAGAGGGTGAGTATGCTTCTAAAGCAAAAAAACCCTACAAACTAAGCCTTAATGTGAAAATCAAAATTTGGCAAAGTCGACACGATTTTTGTACATGTGGACGTGTGGCCTATGTTTACGGAGGCAGTCCAGTAAATAGGCCACATTTATGGGGCTAACAGAGCGTGTGACACAGGTTTTTTTTTTATCCATATCTATGATTGCAACGGTGAATGACTGAAGACCCGATATAGAAAGCGTCCGCTGCTTGGTCAAAATCTAGAGGTCAAGATGCGGAGGTCTTGCCTAATTAATCAGCAAATCAGTTCATATGTTATATAGACTACCCCCCCCCCCCGGGCCGTACGGTACTGAATGACTCATTTTCCCAGGGTTGTTGTCTGCTGATGAATAGCGCCCTCTTTCTAATTGCCTGACTAGACGGGTACCAAGTCGTACTTGGATATATGAGGAACGCAGTTATTTTAAGGAACCAGACCAATGATATTCTTACACGGCTGCGCCCGACCAAAGAAAAACGTCTGCAGTCTGCAGTCTGCTACAATTTGATCCCCATTTCAAGACAAATTTGGGTTCAAAATGGTTTGTGAATGTTGTAAAAACCCATACTGTGAGTTCCTGTGGAAGTATTACACCCCGATTGTCCGGATATGGGGCATGGGGACAGCTGCAGGTTTGTCTATCGTAACCAAAATAAATTCCACGAACCACTCGCCAAAGACAAACATGACAAAGTCCTTTTTTTTTGTTTTTCCCACCATATTTTAGTATTTTTGCTCATCCCCTGGCTAGCATTAGCAATAAGATTTGTAAAACGAAACTGTCACTATGCTGTCCCTATAAAAATGACTGCTGCTCGTAAGAAATGTTTAATTGCATGCCACAACTGCTATTTCAACTGACCAAGTGAGGGGAAGGGCATGAATGATTGAACATGTTGAATGAAGGGGGGCGTGACCATTGTTGTGGACTGTCTGTGGTGATTTTGTAGCCCCATAAATGTGGCTGAAATAGACTACCCCTGTATTATCAGCCACAAAAGGCCATACACCCTGTGCGTGGAAGGTCCGGTTGCTGGGGCAGCAGAAAATCAACTTAAGATTGGAATTATTTTGTCACTTTAATCACGCAATTGACAATGACAATCACGTCTACAAGTACAACTGCTTAATACTATAATAGCAAAAAACACATTGAATGCATTACCTTGACTCTTCAGAGTCTAGCTATCTTGTAATTTCGAATTGAATTCAGACAAATTTCTGCTGAGATAATCTCCCTCACTAGCTTGCGTCAAATTTTGGCAAAGTGCATCGGTACGGATGTTTCCTGTCATTCACTATTGGTCAAAAGTGCATGCATGCAGGCGCACTTTTGACCAATACTGAACATGACATGCTGAATGTTAACAACGAAATTGTAATTGTTTCTCAGATAATAACCTTTCAGTTTCATATGAACTCTGTAACTAAGTGTAAGATACTAAGAAATACTTGTACATTTCTTTAACTTTAAGTTGCTGAAATATTGCATTTGGCCATCAATTTGCAAGAGGCCTGAAACTGACAAGACCAGGTTGTACTGTCACTAGAGGGCCTCTGTCACTATTAAGGATGTGACGTTTAAACGTTTAAACCAAAACAATTCTTAATCTGTTTACATATTTTCCAAGATGTTTAAACGAAACCCAAATTATAAAAAAGGACCTACGTTCACACGATCTTCCTTTGAGTTAAACATACATGGCACAAATAATTTTTTGTTTTCAAAGTATTTAATTTACAAGTTTTTATTTTTTCACTGACTGCCATTGTTGATTTACATGTATCATGTCATTCAAGCCGGTCTGCAGACATAATGGGCAGGACTTTAAACGGGACTTTAAACATTTAAACGGTTCTTAAAATATTTGCTAAATGTTTACAAAATTAATGCAAATTCACATCCTTAGTCACAATGATGTTTACGTACTGTGTATACAGCAGTTTCGCGGCAATATGTTTTCCTCAAAAATATCTCTCGGGGAATTGTCAAGATAAAGTATTTCTTATATACAGGCCCTGCGCAGTTTAATTGCAGTAAGAATGCAAAATTACAGGAGAAAAATGTCTGCATAAAAGCCCTATGTTGCACAATGGCAATGCATTATTTGTTTTTTTATTTTGCTTGCTTGTTTTATGTTTATGCAGCTTTCTGGGCAGTAGGGATCACGTCATTAGAAACCAAAGATTTCTATGGAATCTATTTCATGTGAGTTTTTATTTTGTAATATGTAACCGTAATTTCTACTAGTAAAACTCCTTGGAAATTTTTCTTTTGGATGTTATCTTACTTAATACTTCTGCCTACATGCAACATGTTCAGTTGCCTCATTGCAATGTTTTGCAGTAAGAATGTCCCTTTTATTTTTGATGGTATTTTGTTAGATGCAAATCCTATTTTTCATCAGTGTGGACGTCAAATCTGACACCAGTATCCAGTTACAGGCGAAGCAAACTTGACGAATAGTCAAGATGGAACGTGCACTGTGTCCACAAATTGTTCACTGGTTATCCCATAAGTTGTGCAACAGTGGGAAAAGCACACACTTCTCACAGAATAGCGCAATATGCGGACTGCGATGTGGACCATGGTATATGGGATATTGTTTTAAACCATTGCTATGACGTCACACTATTGTTAAAAGTGTGGATTCGGATCTACGAATCTCTTACACTGGTCACAAAGTGTGGATTCGGAACGACGAATCTTTAGTAAAGTGTGGATTCGGAATTACGAATCCACACTTTGAACATGTCGGACAATTGTTCTCCATAATGAGCATGAATAGGACCGTCTGCGTGAAAATTTGCTTTCCGAAAATTACCAATACATCTTCACTGTCAGATTTTCCGCCGTCACTGCAAAATCTACTTTTAGTCAGAAAGAAATCGTCGTCTGAACTATCCATTTTGACGTAAGGAGCGAATAATGCACACAAAATGACTTGGTTGTACGGGTGTGTCGATAGGCCTACACATGCTAAACACGCCAGGAAACAATGTTGCAACCTGACGCCACTTCCGCGCTTGTGTACAACGTCTATGGAGAGTCATTTCAAGTATTTCCTAACAATTTTCAAAAAACATTTATCAGTTCCAGATTCATGTCTTATCATCATGTTTGCAACGAATGGCCTTCATTGAGATGATATATGAAGAAAAAAAAGTGGCGTCAGGTTGCAGCATTTTTTCCAATACTTCTGTTGACGCAATGGTTTAAGTCGAAGAATACACTCGCAAGTGTGGATTCTTAATTTACGAATTCACTCGGCGCTTCGCGCCTCGTGAATTCTTAAATTACGAATCCACACTTTCTCGTGTATTCTCCTTAACATATCGCGTGCTTGGATACTGTAATTTTATAGGTCTAGGACAGACACGTGTCTGGACACACCGAGGGTGATATCGCACTGCGTTCGTTGCACCCGTTGGAACCTGCTGGCATGCTATAGATTTGCGCAATGAGAACTGCAACATCAACCACTTAGTCTTGGGTCCGGCAGGACATGAAAACCTTCAATTATCAAAGGCTACATCGCACTGATTTAATATAGCTTCGCCTTGGGTGCTATGCACCCCTCGGGTGTTAAGAACGTCATATCCCACATCACAGCAGTCAACAACTGTTAAATATCACACTGTTGTGGCCAAGGATCTACAAGTTGGGGTTAGGTAATCAAGTTTGCTTGGAAATAAAACTCTGTGTACATGTAGGCACAACGTTTGACAGAAATTTGACAGACATTAGTGCTTTAAAGCTATAGTCCATCATTTGCAGCCATCCGAAAAAGTAACTGACGTATTATTGTTGAAAAACATACTTGGTTGAAAGATAGTAAGTGGACTAAACTCCCTGTGAAATTAATCTTTCTGGCAAGCTATCATTTTGAAGTAATCAACGAAAGAAGGCCTTTCCAACAAGGTGTCTTAAGACACGCCGTAGAAAAATTTAAATTAGTAGTTCGTTTTGTTATTCGGCGCAGCGCGCGCAAGCATTGGTACGACATACAGGCGCGCGCGGTTGCTATAATTCGTCGGATCAGTGTGCGACATCGCGTATAGCTGCAATTCAAAACAATTCAAAACATGATTCAGCAACTTTTGATTTGAAATTGAGATCCTAGAATGCTGTTTTTCTCAGTATATGCTGAAGCTTAGCTGAAACTTCATCAGGTTAGTTGTTCAGTATCCTTCATTAGATTTTGAACACTTTTGTTGCTTCAAACGAACAAAATGCACTAATTACAAATGATGGACTATATCTTTAATTACAATTTACATTTGTAATTTTAAAATGTAGTATTCTTCAGTCAACGTTACTTTCCATTTGTTCCACCCAGTGTTGTGGCTTCCATCATCACGCTGCTTGAGGTGATTTTCTTCTTTGAACCCTGCTTTACGAAATGCTGCTCGTAAGTACTTTGTTGTTTATCCCTGGCTCTGCATCAGCATATTGACAATGATTGCTGGAGGATTTTGGAGGATTGAGGCAGTGGTTACCGTTCCAATGACCACATTCAAGAAATCACAGGAATTTTGCAGGATTAAGGCATGCAAGTGCTCATATAGAGGTATCCTGAATCCATCAAAATCTTGCAGCTAGACTTACTGTCCTGAATCCATCAAAATGCCCCATTTTTTTTGCAATATGCAGGTATTCTGAATCTGCCAAAATCCTCCAAAAGAAGGGTGTTGATTTTAATGGATTCAGGTACGTTAGGGTTAATAGTGCTTCAGGTTCTCAATCCTACAAAACCCTGCCAAAATCGCCTAGTGGATTTTGAAGGATCTTTTAGGAATATTTTGTTTGCGTTCGTATTTTCAAAAAACAGCTTTATCCTATTACGTTTCTAGACCAGACAGTTGTTGTGGTAAGACGTGGACCATCGTCTCTTGGCTCGACAACTGGAAACGAAGCTTTAGATTTACCCTTCTCAATCCTACAAAACCCTGCCAAAATCGCCTAGTGGATTTTTGAAGGATTTTTTAGGAATTTTTGTTTGCGTTCGTATTTTCAAAAAACAGCTTTATCCTATTACATTTCTAGACCAGACAGTTGTTGTGGTAAGACGTGGACCATCGTCTCTTGGCTCGACAACTGGAAACGAAGTGCCATCTACATCGCGCTCTCGGTCATCTGTTTCTTGGACCACGAAAATATTTGGTCGATTGTTGCAGGTGAGTTGCAGTTTTTTCTCTCGAGTCGTACATCTTCAGTCTTGTCATTCTTCCGTGGTGCACCTTATTCTTTGTTAAGTAAGCATGTCTGCAGTTCCACCGTTTGTTGTACTGAACATACTCCAATCTGAATGCAATGGTACATATGGATTTTTTTAAGTTTGTCAATGTGCAAATTGCAAAAATGTTAAGCCTTACTCTACTGAATCCAACAAGATCCAACAGCAAAGAGGGATTTTTTTTAAAATCTGTGGATTTTGTTGATCTGAGCAGTGAACAAAAGATTTTTGTGGAAGTTGTTGGATCCTGTTGGATTCAGCAGGGTTCTCACTAGTCTTGATCCAAGACTGAACTAGATTTTATTCCCCTAATGATATCGGTCCAAGCCAAGCACGGATCTGTTGCTGCGACGGTGAGAGTTCGATACGAACAATGTAAATGAAGTACAGTACTGGGAACGTTGGCAGTGCTGCCTAGGAAATTTCAAGCATGCAGTTGCACCTCGCATGCTCTGTGTGCAGCCTAATTAGCCCTTACCCTCAATCCTCAAAAATCCTCATGGCGGTTTTGCAAGGATTTTGGAGGATTAAGGATGAATAGTGTTTGAGAAACGTGAGGATTTTGGAGGATTGAGGATGAATGGTGATTGAGAAACATGAGGATTTTGGAGGATTGAGGATGAATGGTGTTTGAGAAACATGGGGATTTTGGAGGATTTAGGGTGAATGCATGGTGTTGAAGCGCATGAGGATTTTGGAGGATTGAGGACGTTTGACGTTTGTCAGCGCGATAACTTGAGAAATACTTAACATATGAACTTCAAATTTGGTTTGTGGATTGTCCTTGGTAATCCTAAGAAGCCTTTTGCATTTGGGGCCAAAAGGTCAAGGGTCAAGGTCACAGTGGCTGAAACAATAGAAATTTTGTCAGCGCGATAACTTGAGAAATACTTAACATATGAACTTCAAATTTGGTTTGTGGATTGTCCTTGGCAATCCTAAGAAGCCTTTTGCACTCTGGGCCGAAAGGTCAAGGGTCAAGGTCACAGTGGCTGAAACAATAGAAATTTTGTCAGCGCGATAACTTGAGATATACTTTACATATGAACTTCAAATTTGGTTTGTGGATTGTCCTTGGCAATCCTAAGAAGCCTTTTGCATTTGGGGCCAAAAGGTCAAGGGTCAAGGTCACAGTGGCAAAAACAAAAGAAATTTTGTCAGCGTGATAACTTGAGATATAGGCCTACTTTACATATGAACTTCAAATTTGGTTTGTGGATTGTCCTTGGCAATCCTAAGGAGCCTATCGCATTGGGGGTCGAAAGGTCAAGGGTCAAGGTCACAGTGGCTAAAACAATAGAAATCTTGTATTTATTCTGAGGTCATAGGGATTAGGGATTAATTCATATAAAACCTACAGAAGACACTAATGCTGTCAATGAACGTTCCATTTGACCAAGGTACATGTAAGTTGATGTTAGAGTGGTGTTATGTCATGGAAACAGTCACGGTTGCGGGGCATTTGTGTTTGTAAACACACCTGACTTGTTCTGGGTTAGCGCTGCAAGAGTTCCCAATACTTAAAAATGATTTATCGTGTTGGGAGCGAACTCTGGCTTTACCACTCCTATTAGGAACTAGCTGCGCTTGGGGAATAAAATGCAAGTCCAGACTTGGGATCAAGACTAGATTCTCTCAAAATACTTGGATGATCAGAAATTTGTGACACATTTACATCAAAATGTGCGATTGACCACGAAATATGAAAAGATAAGATACATGTGGACAGCATCACCTTTATTCTTTCTTTTTCTGTGGTGTCTTTGTTTCTGTTACACCCTTTGTTCTTCACTTGTGAAATCTACCTAATCGCTTTACTCTATTCAAGGCTCTGGTGACGGCTAATCTTGTAATGCAAGATATTGAGAAGGAAATGCAGAGGATTGTGGGAAGCCTGCTGCACTGACAAAGCAATGTTGTAGTCTAGTCACAAGTCCCTGCAAGTCCTCACAAGTCATCCAGTCCCAAGACAAGTAGTTATCGTTCAACCCCTGTTGTTGGTGGCTGGACTTGTGAATGAACTTGCGATTTACTTGTGACTGGAATTGAGATGGAATCGACCACAACACTGCTTTAATCAATATGCGTGCATTCGGTAACACTACTCAGATATGATGCGTATACATACGTAAAGTATTCTCCCTGGACAACAAATATTATCCAATGAGAGTTCAAAGATATTCACCCGTTTCTTGTCAGTCAAACACTGCGCATTGACCAATCAGATCCTGACCACGGTCACAATGTAGAGTTATATTTAAAAACCCTAGAGAGCACACTACGTGCATGATCTGACAGAGAAGTGCAGCCGCTGTACTTAAGGTGGAACAACTTCTGAATTCTTTCTAAATATAGCACGCTGTGTGTGCTTGCGTGGGCACATGGGGGGATTTTGCAATTGTGACGTGTTGGAGGTAGTCTTAGCCCATGATCAGCTGTGTGGTTGCGAAGGCCAAAGCGTCCCTGGTTGTTCGGCCTTTGCAAACACACGGCTGATGATGTCAGTAATCGATAGCGACGGTTGTATTTGAACAGCACTGACAGTTACTGTTGAACAGCGCCCTTATAAAACTTTTTTTTAAACATTCTAGCACTAACAGGCGTGCTGGTCTAATTATGCCGTTAGATGGTGCGCTACTGCCAAATGAACTTGAAACTGCATGATCCACTATCAATCACTGGCGTTTTGGGCCAAGACTTTGTTTGGAGGTAATTGTTCCACCTAAAGTACGAGGGCCGCATGTCCATGTTGGCACATCTGCGTGTGTGCGTAGTATAGCAAGTGTGCTCTCTACATTTTTAAATATAACTGTGTTGGTCACAAGTACTGTGATATTAACCAAAGTGGGCGGGGCTTATGATCAAATCCGGAACAGTCCATTAGCCGTTGCCAGGGTCCTTGAATAGGGCAGTAAATACGAGCAATACTTTGCACTGGTTAACTAATCCTGTCCCACACTCCCCCTCCTCTCCTGTTGTTTTTTGTTTCCCCCTCCTGTAGGGAGCTTGTTAGCCCTGCATGCCGTGCTGTGTGCAATGCTTGTCTGTGGCCCTTTCAAAGAACAGACCAAAGAACAGAGGGACGTGGAACGGGACAAATACCAACTTCTCTCCACTAACATCTAACACTTTTCCCGAGTTGAATACTAACGCTGGAGTACGAGTCTAATAATACCAGGATGTAAATTTCATGAAGCTGGAACCCTTCAAGAAGCAAGGCGGTGATAAAATTCTCCACATTTTCCAAATATGGTCATATTTTTTTATTTTCAATGGGCCAATAAGGCCAAGCTTCCATGTAATCCTCACCCCTACTATACACCACAAGCCTGTAGACTCCCATTGGCCAGACCCTAGCCACTCCAGAGTAAGGAGTGTTGAAAGACAGCAGTCAAGATGGCGCCTAAATGCCTTTGTGCAGTAATTGGAGATCTTAGTGGCCACCCCCTTTGTGCCGCCGATCTCTTTGTGTCAACCCCTCGTGCCGCCCAGAGCTCAGACAGGTTGTAAACAATCCCTGGCCATGTGAATGACCTATATCTTGTGCATGTACAGGCATGCCAGGGTTATTGACCTAGAAACACGTGTGGTGATAAAATTTTCCATGTGGTTTCACCGCGTAATTTTTATGTGCTTGAAGCTCGAAGGGTTGCTGCGTCCTGATTACGTGGCTATGGCTGGAAATTACACATGTGTCTATGGTAGCCGCTGCAGCCACTTCCCATATCACTGGTGTAATTACAAGCCGTACCCATGTAACTGCTCCCTTAAATTAAATGCTTAGCACAAATTCTGCCGGGTACCAGTCACAAGGAATATAAACTGCTTGTAATATTGACTGGTTACCACTTCTTGCAAGCAAATATTTTCACATCTCAAGCAAATTTCTTAGCAGAAATTTATGTCTTGCCTGTAAGCTTTCTCTGCACTAGTCTTCCTTCGAGCAGTTTCATTTACGTGGACAAAATAGTTAGGGTTTGCGGTAACACTGGTGAAAGAATCTCTTCTTTTTGAAAAGAACTTGTTGGTGCTTGTCTTATCAATACCAAACATCGTCCTAAAAAAGAGATTCTTCTAATAAGTTTCAAATCTTATTTATGTGGAGAAGTAGCTTTAAACTTTCTGTTGAACAGAGGCCTTATATTACAGAGCGTAGAGGGGCCACAAGCAATAAAAATTGTCCAAACTAGTGTCTCGCTGTGGGACGGGCTTACTATCTCGCCATGGCAAGATACTATCTTACCGTGGCGAGATACTATCTTATCGTGGCGAGTTACTTTCTTGCCATGGTCTGATACTATCTCAAGAGACAGTAGCTCTCCACAGCCAGATCTATATAAATAGGTGTCTCGCTGCAGCGACAGATTTACTATCTCGCCATGGAAAGGTACTATCTTGCCGCGGTGAGTTACTTTCTCGCCATGGTCAGATACTATCTCAAGAGACAGTAACTCTCCACAGCCAGATAGTACATTGGTGTCTCGCTGCGGTGACGGACTTCTTGCTATGGCAAGATACTATCTGGCTGTGGCGAGTTACTTTCTCGCCACGGTCAAATGCTATCTCGAGAGACAGTATCTCTCCACAGCCAGATAGTAACTCGTCACTAACTTGCCATTGTGAGAAAGTAACTTGCCGCAGCGAGCTAGTAACCTCTGCAGCAAGATGGTTAGGTGTTACGGCAAATTAGTATCATTCCGCAGTGCGATAGTTCCGTGCTGTGGCAAGATAGCAACATGCTGCAGCAAGAGAGTAAATCGTCTTGGAGAGATAGTAACTCGCTATGCTGGGATACCACTTAGAATTGTTTAGCTGTTTGTGGCTCTTTTATGATTTGAATTTAGTACGTCTATAGGCAACATGTTATAACAATAGTTCCTTACATGTACATGATAAAGGTACATTGTAGCAGTGTAAAATATCACAGACTCTGTGAAGCCTTTGAGTTGTAAATACATGTATAATATATTTTAACATCTATGCCTGTCTTAAGTTTCACACTTTGGTGCTGTGTCTCTGGTGCTTGTATGAATGTGTGATTTCTTTTGGTTTGGATGTTGTCATATCATTAATACCCTTCAGCCCAGCCCCCAGCACATGTTGGTGATAACATGAGTGTTTCTTCATTGGCATAGAGCATGTTCCAACAGCCTGTGTCTCATGAAAAAAGTGCATGCTAGTTGGAATTTGATTGGATATTTGATTAAGCATTCATGGCAGTGATTGGTCAAAACATCATGGGGGTGGGGCTTGATGCATCAGTCTATTTGCATATGTACATAACATGAATAATAAAATATTTATACAAAGCTCAGAGCTTTACTTCCATGAGAATGCCAAGAACTAAAGTTTAGGGTGTGTATAACATACATGTACATGTACTAGGTACAAGTATAGTGAATTTAGAAGGATATTTTCCTTAATTTGAATTTTTTCTGTGTATATTTGATTGTCCTGTTTGTTGTGCTATAACCTGAAATCAAAGAATAACAAGTTTGTTAAAGTAAATCCATATTTTGTATCAAAATGTGGTCTAGACCAAAAGCCCAATATTTATGTTCTTTAGGCCTACATCTCCAGTGGTCATGGTGGTTGTTCATGTAAATAGTTCTTTATTAATGCCCATTTAAATTTAATCGCATGAGTCACTATCAGCAAAATATTTATGTAAAAACAAAATACACCTTTTTTAAGTCAATATATATTACATATTTACAAATACTTATATTTATAATATAAATAAAAATACTTTTACTGTTTAAAATAAAATACAAGTCTTGGTAGTCTTGATTTGAGAAAATGTTTTGATCAGGCATATATGTGTTGAGCATACATTTTTTTTTCATTCTCTAACGCAGAAGTAGGTTTGTAACTTATTGTTGGAAATAGCATTAGTTATGCTAAGCTGTAACAAAGTGTAGTTGGCGGCAGCCTGAATTTTTATAGTTCATCTAGTTAAATGGTTCCTGTTTTTGTGCCGTTTGTTCAGTTCCCTCACTGCCTATTCATTTAACTATCCGTGTTAAGCTTGATCAGTGCATTTCGGATGTTCAAATATTCGATCAGGTCCAAGTTCAAATAAGCGAATATTCAATTATTTGAAAACAACCACTCCTAAGGCATAAGTTATTCTTATTTATGCTAATTTATGCTAGGTGGCATACTAGTACTTCTCTAATAACAGTAATAGAAGTCAATGGAAATTGCTGATGCATGCAGTGCACCATATGTTTTTCGTTTGTACTACTGTTAGTCGTCCTGATAAATAATTTACAGTTTTGATGTTTCTTTTTAAAAAAATATGTATGAGCAGCACACCTTTATATCATCAATGAGTTCATTGAGTTGATAAAAAATGCCAATGTTTCTTCCATGTAAATGTCATTCGAGTATTTTACCAGAAATGTAATCGTTGGTTGTATTTTATTTTTTACCAATATCATGTAAATGGTCATTTATGCTAGATGTAAGATCCTACCGATTACTCTCCATATTAACATCTTTTCATTTGAAGGTGGTAGATTTATTGATTTCTTTCGGAAAAATGTTTTGCTTGTGTTTTTTTTTTTCAATCAAAGTGCAATTCAATCCAAATTCATTAAAGCTTGAGCAACATACTTTTTGTTTTTCTTGAGTTTTCATGTTTATTTCAAACTTGTCATGCAGAAGACAAAAAAATATGTATGTAGACAAGTCCCATCTGAAGCTGAACTGCCTAAATCTTCTAAAATCTGAACCAGGCTATCCGTAACCGTATTGACCAGTCCATCATGTCCGTTGTTTCATATCGTGTCTGCGCGTACGCATACACTTAGTAGCGCAGAACCAAAATAGCAGCATCTGATGAAAGCCTCATACAGCTAATCCTGCTTTGAAACACAGAAGAATGGCACATGCACATGTATACATACAGTCGAACCCTGATAAGAAGAGCATTTAACCCTAACCCTGCTGAATCCAACAGGATCCAACTATGTCGCATACCCGATGGAGCCTGTTGGATTGAGCAATTAACCCCTTGTGTACATTCCTCATGCAAAATGGTGGATTCAGCAGGCAACTGAACCGCATTATAACGCCATGTTGGACTCCGTTGGATTCAGCAGGTAACTGAAAATAAAGCACAGTGGATTGAACAGGAAAGTCCGGTTGGACTCTGTTGGATTTAGCAGGGTAGTCCCGAGGAAGTACTAGGGGGTTAGGGGTACGTACAGCATCCTGCTTATAACAAGCAAAATATTAGGTTATAAGTCCCAAGTCGTTGTGTTCCATTACTGTTAATACAAGGTACCTGTATAACAAGGTAATTTGTGTTGGTCCCAAGGACCTTGTTATAAAGGTTTTTCGATAATTTATCGGAAAGAGGGTGAAAATAACGATTAACTATGCATTTCACACTGAGGCGTAGCGCACGATACAGCTATGCCATATACACATGTAGCGGGTAGCGAGTTGCCAGTGACATCAAAAGACCACACAAGTCAATGCCCTATCCGGCTCCCAAACTGAATCTGTTTGCCTCCAAAACTCTCTCGACCGCAACAAACACAGACTGAACTTCAATCTCCCCCTCCTCTCATACAGGAGTGGTTTTGGACCTCCTAGCCATACTCTACCTCCTCCGCACCTACCAGGAGCAAGCCCTCATGCATGCTGCCAGCGAGCAAACCCCCCAACAAGCCTCTGCCTCGACCACCAAGTACACCCGCTTCGATGCCGGGCAGAGCACCAAGAGGAAAGAGATGGACACTCTGGCTCCCGTGTCCAAGCAGGAAGAACCTGACGAGGACTACATCAAGGAGGACTCCAAGAATCCGTTCGGAGACTTCGACGACGATGATGACGCAGATCCAGAAGGAGATGCTGGCATATCACGATATCCGTAGTTCTGAACTCAGGTGATGGCAAAGACCTTCGTTTTCTATTTCTATATTTAGCCATAACCCTCAAGGGTATGTTTTTTGGTAGAAAACTGGGGCCAATTTCATGGCTGTGCTCAGCACAGAAACTTTGCCAAGCACAGAATATATTTGCTCAGCAACAACGGGTTACCAGCCTCAATGTCATGTAATGTGTATTGCTTCCGACTGGTTGTCGGCTGATTTTGTTTTGCTTCAGACTCGTGACCGGTCTCGGTCTCGAGACCGGTCTTGAGATCAGTTTTTGGTGGTCTCGGTCTAGGGCTCGATACCCAGTGTTCTCGGTCTTGGTCTCGGATATTTGAGGTGTCGATATTTCCTGGTCTCGGGTCGAGACCTGGAAAATATCAGTACAAAAACAAAACAAAATCGAAACCACACACTGGTCGTAATGATTATGACGGATTGCTTCATAAGTAGAGTCGTTGGTGTTCGCGACTTTCCGTGATGGATTGTATAACAAGCTGCAGATATAGATATAAATTTTTTAAATGACTGTACAACTATAGCAAATTTTGTTATTTGCCTTTTCCATTTAGACATCGGCTCCGAAAATGCTTGCTGGCCAGTGTATATTGGACGTACAACGAGGTTGATTGGTGATCCTTTGAGAGTCAGCCAAACTTTGAAGAGATTGGGTGCTAGCCTGATGATTCCAGAATAGTACTGGAAAAAAAATATATTCTGGAGACTTGTATTGTTGTATATGTATAAAACTTTCTGTATAAATTTGGTAAGGGGTAGCGTTTAATTTGGAAGAGGTACAGTATTGGATGCATTTTTAATTTTTTTTTTTTTTTTTACAAAAGACAGGTTGGCTGATTAGATTTTTCATTCAAAACGAATATTTTGCAGCTGCAGTAATGGCATTTATCTTTTGTATCATCTTGAAAAAGCAAGATTTTAGCCTTGTCAAATCAGTATAAGGCTGAACATTACAAAGTATTAACATATTTTTAAAACACTTTCTGATTAAGGCTTGAAATCAGTTCGTTTTTTTGTGTGAGTAGAGATTGTGTAATTGTAATGGAAAGCTTTTGAAGCATCTTGATTTTTTGAGGAATTCTGTGGCTCTTTGGGATAAAATTCAAATAATGTCTTTCTCTTAATTTCAGATCTTTGCAACGAGTATATTGTAAAAGGATGTGTATTTTTTTCAGTCATTGCTAATTAAGTTTTTCTGAACTTGCTATTTAATGCTATTTAATCATTGAGAAATAGCTATAACAATTGGTTTTAGTGCAATGTAGCGTTATCTGAAGGCTTTTTTGGGGTGGACTTGTTACTATTTAAATTGTATTTATGTTTAAGCTTTTGCTTTGCTAACTTATTTCATAACTCAAAATCCATCAAGATTCAAAAAGGGGGGGGGGAAGAAAGAAAAAGAGGCGCGAAATCATTTTGCTGGTAATTTAATGGGGTGGGGGGGGGGGGGCAAATGTCCCTGCCCACCCTCGAAAAATGATAAATCGAGAATATGCTGGAAAAGTGGAGTGATTTTTGGGGGTAAATGTGCTTTGCCCACCTCTAGAAAAAATCCTGGCAACGCCCATGATTTGATGGAGGCCGGCAAAGGACATTGTTGCTTCTCACAGGGCTTTGTGGATTCGCCAAGGTTCCTTGTAAATGCATTTGGGTTATGCAAATGTAATTTCTGATATTCCTATATGGTGCACTGTTTAACTCTAAGCAATATATTTGAGTATAATTCATCTCTTCAATATAACTTGTCTTTAATTTTATACAAGGTATGCTGTATATTTTTCTATATTTTAACCACTAAGTTATTTTGGTATCAAGATGTTGTTGGTGTAGTAACTAAACTGATTAAAGTGTAACAAAAGTTTGAGATCTCATGCAGTGATTTATTTGGTAGTGATGTTGGTAGAGGGTCTTTAGAGTGGGCTTGGTAAGAATACAGGGCGAGTCAAAAAACGAAACCCAAATGTCAGGACTATTGTTTTAGTGAAGTTCTACATGTAGCACTTTCAAAATCTAGGATATGAAAGCCCAATTCATCAGCTTTCTTTTAGTACAAGAATCATTCGAAACACTCATGTACTTTCCAAGTTACGGAAATTTAAACACAACCACTGCTTTAAAGTGCTGTCCACGGATCCCCCCAAAAAGTGTGCGTTCTTTCAGCAAAACGAAAACAATTCACACATATCCCTATGTGATTGGTTTTCGTTTTGCTGCAAGAACACTGAACTTTTTTGTGATCCGTAGACAGAACTTTAAAACGTTGGATGTGTTTAAAATTCCGTAACTTGAAAATTACATGAGTGATTTGAATGATTCTTGTATTAAAAGAAAGCTTATGAAAACGTTTGGTCCTTCACCGACGTGTAAACACTGTATACTCGGTGTGCTACCTCCCGAGTGAAGGTTGGAAAAATCACTCGGGTGGGACTCGAACCCACGACCTGCTTTCTAGTGCAGACGTCTTACCACTCGACCACCGAGCTTGTGGGGTCGGTTGGCTGGCTCGAATCTGATGTCTATGTAGCAGCGGTACCGCAATTAAAAACTAAATAATTTGTGCTCCCGAGGAATAGTCTAAATTTAAAACTTGTCATAAATCAATCAATCAATCAATCAATAGAATTCCTGGCTTTAAAAATGTTATGAGTGGAAAATGGTATTTAAAAGTTTAAATTAATTTTATTCCTATTTTAACTGGATAGCCCATTCGGTGGAATCATGGAATCCACTGATCGGCCCAGTAAAGAGAATAGACTTGCATGTTACTTAGTTGACAACCTTGCCTCGATTTCAGATCAGTTTAGTGACGTCATGCAAGTTTCAACAAAACTGAGCTACTGCAACAGTGGCCATAATGCATGCCATGTTTTTGATGTCGGGTGATCGTTATAAACCGGTTTTTTTTTGGCGCCGTCGGTATCCTGTTGAAAGTCATTCAGGAACCGAAGACATTAACATACAACACCACGCACAGTCACGTGACCCTCGTGTGATCACATTAACAGCAGTTGGTGGGTACCGGGTACAGTGACCTTGTCATGGATGTTGAAGTTCAAAGTCGATTGCCGGATCAGATGGGAACAAATGCAAGCGTTGTGTGTAGCCGGGAACAAATGCAAGCGTTGTGTGTAGCCGGAGAACGTGAGTACTTTTGATGTTTGAATACAATTCAGTGGTATCGTGATATTCAATTTATCGTGATATTTGCAATTGCAAAAAGCCCACCCTTTCTCTTGTCCATAATGCTCTTGGTATCTGAAGTCAGGTCTGATCTCTTGAGGTCTATTGCTGATTGTGTATTGGTGCATCAACACAACCCAAAATGTACTTTTCAGAATTTATTCCCGACAACTAAGCTAGCTCTCCAACTCTGGCCTTTTCAAGCACAGGGGTTTAAAAGGGGGTCTACCCGATGTTCCCCAATACCTATGTTCCCCAATGCCTATGTTCCCCGAAATTCTTAGGATTAGGGTTAGGGTTAGTGTTGGGGTTGGGTTAGCCTGGTTTAGGGTAAGGATTTCGGGGAACATTGGTATTGTGGAACATAGTATGCACCCGTTTAAAAGTCATCTTTAAAAAAAAATTCACTTCCTTGCGCACGCAAGCTTCATGCCACCATAATTGTCTCCATTAAAGTTACATGTACAAGGTGAGTAAAAAAAAAACGACACCCAAATATGTTGGGACTAGTTTTAACGAAGTTTTGCTTGTAGCACTTTCAAAATGAAAATCTAGGATATGAAAGCCCAATTCATAAGCTTTCTCTTAGTATACAAGAATAACTCTAATCACTCTTTTACTTTTCAAGTTACGGAATTTCAAACACAACCGCCGTTTTAAAGTTCTGTCCAACAACTTCCTTTCAATATCAGTCATTTTGTAGTCTATGTAATATTAGACGTTATATACAGCCTGTCCCCCAAAAATGCTGCAAGCAGAAACGGGCTCTGTGTCCTTGGAATATTGAAAAATGTTTCATGATGCTTATACATTGTTAAACCTGCGATATTCAGCTTTCAAATGCTATTTGTTTTATCAATTATGTGCCACTTTCCGTAAGTTGATACTATAAACGGCAGTATTGCCAGTATTATACATGTACATGATCGTGCAGAAAAATAATTAGCAATGAACAGGTGAAGAAACATTTTTGTTATTCATATTATAATGTTCTTTTCATTATTTGTAACACACTCTCCAAATCATCATAATAGAATCATATCTTCTGGAATTGCGAACCTCCAATGAAGTCGGATTTGAACAGGTTTCATGTCTTGCCATGTCATTAGGCCTAACGTAGTAGCGTAGTTGCACAAATTGATTTTTGAGTGTTTGTGTTCAACGGACCATATCTCTGATTTGGCAATGCAAAATTGATAAACCAAATAGCATTTGAAAGCTGGATATCCCAGGTTTAATATTATCATAAAATATTTATCAATATTCCAAGGACACAGAGTCCATTTCCGCTTGCATAATTTATTTTTGAGGAGGCTGTACATGAGACTTGGCTCCGTGTATTTATTTATTTATTTATTTTATTTTCCAGGCTATTACAAACAGTGAAATACAGACAAAACAATTACATGTACAAATAACACTGAGTAGTAAACATAACAGAAAACACAACAGAAAACAACACCCAAAAAGCTCCCGCAGGATTATCCAAAATAAACAAGTTTCTGTCGAGGGGCTCTCCAAACTATTTGGATAACAGTGATTAATACATTTAGGATAAAATTCATTAAATAAAATATTTATAAAATTAAGCAGTTATGCAAAATATAATTAAAAATACAATTAAAAATACAATTGAAAATTACAATAAGTTTAAAACGGGTGATACTCAGACTATATAGTCATTTTGATGGTCGACCAGCTTCTGTAATATACCAGGGAGTCAAAATGGCATCGGGACCTATCATTGTGCAAGACTTCGAGCAGTACTTGAAGACCAAGTCTTCTGAGCCATGGTGGCAGTACTTCAGATCGGGAGCAGACTCGGAACAAACGTTGGCTGACAACGCATTGGCTTTCCAAAGGTAAATGTTCCAATATCGTTTGCTAGCCGCAACTAGAACAGTACGTACATGACAACATACGAGTCATTTTCGTTAAAACGTATATAACACTTCACCCTTTGCCCTCCAATGGACCGATCCAGTAAGCCCCGCCCACTGCGCACGTGGGCAAATTACCACGTGCTCCTCTCCAATGCCGATCATGCCACGCTGCATTTTCCTGCCGCGCGCATCATACGCGCGTGCACGCATGTCGGACTTCTGTGCACGCACGTCGGACATAAATCACGGCTGTGATTGGTCAGTATGGGGCAGTGCTTACTGGATCGGTCCATTATGGTATGTGTGCATGCCTAATAGGCCATAAGATTCAAGACTTTGTATACATTTTCCATGTCCTTATCTACATCTACGCCGGTATTTGGCAAAGTCCACTTCTGGATGTTAACGCTGAGGTGAAGCTTATTAAAGGTGCATGCATGTCAACATGGGGAAGCTTGTGCAAAAGAAATGTAAGTGCGAGTACCGTCCAATCTTGGAGTTGGCCGAGCGACGGTATGACCCGAAGACGTCCACAAGCTGACAGAGCGTTGTGATGACTTCCAAAATACTGCTTCCAAAATACTGCACCTAAATTACATAAAATTGAAACTTTTGGGGGAATCTTTTCACTCCGTTCATATTCAGGCCGCAGTGATGAATTTTAATTTTTCGCTTTAATATACAAATTCTCAATCATGTTCAGAACGGAGCCGCTACGAATTATTGTTAACTTCATAACTTCGGGTAGCATTCAGTTCGGCCTATTCAGGCTTGTGACTGGCCACCATAACTTCGTATATATATATATCATTTGTGTGATCAATCTCAACCCAGGTATCGGCTACGACCTCGCTATTTACGCGATGTTTCCCAGCGAGATCTCAGTATCAGTCTGCTGGGTCATCGTCTGCAGCTTCCAATCGGGGTTTGCCCATCATCCAGCCATGGTATGGTGCATCCAGAGGCAGAAATCGCAACCGCTAAAGGTACGGCACAGACAGTTTTCTGAATGATGTTTTGAGAATTTGGGAAGACTTCAAAGAAGTATACGCGGGCAATTTAGGCCAAGTTCGGGCAAGGACCATTAGTAGACTAGTGGTTGATTTGTGACGTACCTTACGCCTGCGCACCAATAGCAACTTGTGAACGTCTCTAGTCAAACGCTGGTCAAAATGTCATCGCAAAACTTCTGGATCCTGGCTCTCTGCTAGCGTTATGAATGCGCGCGGCTATTGGTTACCAGCGAAGCAACCAACCCCAGTAGGCTGGTTCCAAATAGTCGACTAGCGTAGTCAACCACCGTCGACTAGACAGAGTTCGGGCAAACGTTAGTTAACCATTGGTCAACTATAGTCCTTGAGCGAACTTGGCCTAAGTTACCAAACGGATGATGTCAGGAATTGGTCATGCCTCATGTCAGCTTCCCGAACCGCCGTGCCTCATATTGTTGTTATATCAGTTCCTAGATCCAGTGAATAATTTTGATCCTGACGACTCACGTGACATCCAAATGGTTTGGACGGCAACTACGTAGACAAGACAGTGCATGCGTGTTGCCATCTAGAAGGTGCGTTCGCCGCGTGTTACTCTTGCTATACAGGGTGTTTCAAAAAAAGGAAACCCAACTTCAAAGAATGAGTATGGACAGACGATATGTTCACTGGCTATAAATCTGGTATCATCTGAAAGCGTCATCTCTATGCTTTTCAATGATACCGTGTTTAGGTTTTCTGAGTCATGCATCACTGAGCATCATTGTCTTGAAAACTGGATGCAAAAATGTAGTTGGTTCACTTTCATAAAAAAAAACCCACTGGGCACGGTGTGCCTATTGTTACGGAAATGTCTGTGAAATGGCTTGAATGTTAATCCTCAGGAAAATGGCACATTGTTTTGAACGTGGCTTGGTCAAAACGAGAAATTCATGACAAACAATAAAATCCAGTTTTGAAACCAACCCGACTTGGGTTTTTTTGGTTTCATTTTATGCACTTGTGTCTTCTTCTTGGATACTTATTCTCATGCACACCATGCCTATTGTGTTTGACATGAAAGTGAACCAACTGCAATTTTGCATCAAAAATCTCATGACAGTGGCGCTCAGTGATGCATGACCCCGGATGCATGACCCTGGAAATGTAAACAAGGTATCATTGAAAAGCATAGACATTACGCTTTCAGATGATACCAGTTTTTAAAGCCAGTAAACATTTAGTCTGTCCAAACTGGTTCTTTTTAAAGTTGGGTTTCCTTTTTATTGAAACACGTACCTGTATACTAGCGCAAGAAAAGGTTGCGTGCGCATTACTCTCGGTGCAAGAGTATTTACTCCCGGGGTGCGTTCGAGCGTGCTACTCGTGTTAACCCGAGTATACTCCTGAGCGCACGAACGGCAGGAGTACGACCCGCGGGTTTGCAAACAGTACGTACCTCTAGGGCATCCTCCTGAAATCTCCCCCGAATCTGGAGCGCATGCGCGACTTATTCGGGCAATTACGGCCCATTTTTAGTCCCAAGCATACTAAACACAACAAAAAAGCTAATCAGTGAAGTTGCACAAAAGTATGGTGTACTATAAAGGACACCTATCAAAAGTCCTGGAACTGGAACGGAAATTTGAGAGTTTGCTTCGGAACTACTATGACTTTTTTTAATTGCTTGCTGCACATTACGCCAAACTGGTGCGCGCGCATTACAAAACCAATAGGAGATGCCCTAGACGTTGTTACTGACAAGTCCGTGGGCGATATTGGTTGGTCGTGATAGCGGCATCGCAATACGTCTCGCTTACCCTCGGGTCGTACTCCTGCCGTTCGTGTGCTTAAAGAGTTTACTCCTGTTAGCACGAGTAACATGCTCGAACGCACCCAAATAGTTCAGGCGGTAACGCCATTTGCACGTGTTCCGTAGGCGTAGCCAGTGTTGGTTCCGCAATGGGGCTCAGCATGTGGTCTAACAAGCCTCTGGAAGACATAGCCGCAGCCGTTGCGCCCGAAACACCGCTGTTCCAGCAGCTCAACGTCTTTTGTGACAGGACCAGCATGGACAGGCTTACCTCGCACGCCGAGTGGCTGGTCAAAAGGACCGAGAGGGCGGGCTTCAAGGGCATCGTGCTGACGGTGGATCAGCCAGTGACAGGGAATGGGGTGGAAAGGCGGCGCACTGGCCCGGCTGTCGAACCTCTGGATTTGACGTGAGTTAGCCCCATAAATGTGGCCTATTTACTAGACTGCCTCCGTAAACATAGGCCACACATCCACATGTACAAAATCGTGTCGACTTTGCCAAATTTTGATTTTCACATTTAGGCTTACTTTGTAGGGTTTTTTTGTTTCAGAAGCATACTCACCCTCTTTATAGGCTTATCAGGAAGTGCTGCCTTTTTCAGATGTATATTTTTCGTGAAATTTCCAGATTCATTTTTACACGTTTGCGTATCAAAATTTCAACATGAAATTTCACAAAAATTAGACATCTGAAAAAGGCAGCACTTTCTGACTAGCCTATAAAGAGGGTGAGTATGCTTCTAAAGCAAAAAATCCTACAAACTAAGCCTAAATCTGAAAATCAAAATTTGGCAAAATCGACACGTTTTTGTACATGTGGATGTGTGGCCTATGTTTACGGAGGCAGTCCAGTAAATAGGCCACATTTATGGGGCTAGACGTGAGTGTGCTAACCTTGACACCTTTGTCACACGATTCAGGTTGTATGAACCTTCTGCAGTGGACTAAGCCAGGTCGACATAAGGTTCCCCCTCTGGGAAACAGGTTTAGAGGCATTTTGGGGTGTGGGCATATCGGGGTTAGGGTTATCTGTCGCAAAATGAAGAAGGGGGACAAGGAAATCATGATAAAAAACCCCAGAGTAACAGTGTGAGTAATATAAGTTTTTTGTCTCCGTTTTGTCAATCGGTGGGGGACGGAAGTAGGGGGGGGGGGGAGGATATCATATCGTGTCCCCCCCCCACTTTTTTCATCCCCGAATAAGCCTATATACAATTATTCTATAGCTCAGAATAGCTGATTCAATGACAATCATCACAAAGATGATCTGCTGCTAAAAAAATGGTTTTAGTGGTCAGAAATTGCCTCAGATTGCACCACAGAGCGTCTATAGGATTCAATTTTTTCAGCGGGCTCCAAACCCCACGCCGTTTATAGGGCTTCGCACATCGCACTCGCAGTGTTCATCAAGGTATGTCTCCCCCGGATAAGCGATTGACGCCCTTGAACTAAACCAAGACAAAGAGATGTCCACCGTGTCCACACTATAGGTTGGACTGGGTGATCTTGCAGTAGGATAGGCTTAGGCTACCTCACACGCAGACTACACATTCTGCGAGCTCTTTTGACCAACAACTTGAACAGAAAAACCCTGAACAAAACGTTGCCTTCCTGAAATGACTCACAGCAACAGCGCCCTCAAAAACCGTCATTGTGTCAGGAAGAGCATGGAATATTTTTAAATGTTTCAAGAAGTGCACTTTTCAGTAAGATTTACCAAAAATAATATCAAATTATTTTCATACACGCATGGTACGAGAATGTATATCACTCTTCTATTGCAGGTTTCCGCAATTCGTCGTTCCCGGTGGTTCTTACCTCGATTCTGAAGACAGAATGACACTTGACCCCTCACTGACATGGGATGACCTCGAATGGCTTCGAGACTTGACCTCTTTGCCGATCGTACTGAAAGGCATACTCACCGGTGAGTCAAAATAAGTTTGAAAATGATAGTTACCCGTACGTTTTGGTACAAAAACTACATCCAGATCCACCAAGGATCCCAGACCTGAAAATTAACTATGGTTTGGCTATTTATGTTTTGCCTGAGTGTGTAACATTTTGCGTGTTGGCTAACAAAAAAGCCGGCGAGAAATGTGTGCAAAATAAAGTTTGGATTGAATTTGGTATGTTGTTTATCCTCGTGCAGCTGAAGATGCCAGTGAAGCAGTCAAGCGCGGTGTGTCTGCCATTTGGGTGTCAAATCATGGCGGCCGTCAACTGGATGGGGCACCAGCTACGGTAAACATGAGAAAACTAAAGTCATTTGGGTAACTGGACTGGATACCAGCACTAAGATTGCCCCATACGATCTTTGGTACAAGCAAAAGTAAATGTGAAAGTGTTAAAAATCTTTGTTGCTGATAGTTGACTGACAAGTGATGGCAATTAAAGGGAAGATACAACATCGGCAAACATCAAAAAACGAAATGATCAAATTATCACGAAAATACCTTACTGGATTGTTAGGAAATGACAGTCTCAAGCAGCCTGTAAAATCGTGGCTCCTGGTGTGCTCACATCTTCAAGAAAAATTGTATTTTTCCAACGCTGGTCGGCGCCGACCAGCATTGGAGAAAACCGGCTTTTTTTCAAAAACTGCTTCTAAATTTTCATATTTAGTTATTTCGCATTTTTCTTGCAATTGTTTACACACCTGTGAAAAGGGTACAAGCCTGCTAGACTGATTATCTGGCCTTACAATTCCCCCAAAATGGCTTCATTTCATCTTAAGTGGGGTCAGGGAACCAGGCTACACGAACATGATTGGTTTTCCTGGTGTTTCCAGCATCTACAAGCCCAAAACGTGAAACAAGTCAGTTTAACAATATTTTCTATCACATACTAATCCTCCAAATCCATTTATGTCGGAAAATTTCAGCAAAAGCAAATGTTGTACATTACCTTTAAGTGTAGGGAGACCCTACTCTTCACGATTAGAAACTCACTGAATAAGGGAATAACAGTGTGAGGAGCCGGTCTTCACTGCGTGATAATGACCGGGTGTGGGGGTGACCGCTGTTAATGGACCGAGACGGAGTCGAGGTCCATTAACAGCGGTCACCCCCACACCCGGTCATTATCACGCAGTGAAGACCGGATCCTCGCACTGTTATTCCCATTAATAAATACCTTTATAACGAAATAAACAGTTAAAATGCTCAAATTTTGTGACTTTTTTCCGACGATATTTCCAGACTTTTTTGTGTTCATGTTCATGGGCCATATTTTAGCTTAACAGCTATAACGACGTAAACTCAACAGAAACTGCTGCCGTAGCGAAACAAATTACAACAATGTTTTCATATCTTTACCTGATGGAGGAAGCTGAAATCTCGTTTACACATTCCTTGTGTCCGGAATTACAAAGATGCTTGGTTTAGGAAAGGTAAATATGTCGGTGGGTGAAGTGTTTCAAAGAAAATAAATCGTAGATCTACGCTTTCGTCGTAAACATCCTCAGTATATACTGCACTGCTGTACGATGTCGTTTCAAAACTTCCTTACGCGCGCGCACGCACGCATCCCTAGCAACTGTGTTGCGTACGCGCGCGTCAGTCTCACGCGATGGGGGTTGAGCACATGTGCAGTGCTCAATTGTTAAAAGCTACCGCAGGACTGTTACTATATTTTGACCAATCATTGGCTTGCATGGGGCTGAACGGGGCTTGATCAATGCTGGTTCAGGGGCCATTTATTCGCTTGATCTTTGAAGCCGGTCCATTATCACCGTTAATGACCGGCCACGTGATCGAGTCTCGACCAATCAGAAACCATCAACTCTCCAAGGTATTTATTAATGTCTTATAAAGGTACAAATGCGCGTGTAAAATAACTTAAACGCAACAAAATCCACATCAACGCCATCCCAAAAGGAAGGTTATAGCTTTGGGGCGTAGTGGATACTTGCATTTATTACATCAACTGTGAAAAAGAGAGTTGAGGGCATGAACGTCATAGCCGCCATGCGCTTACGTTCAGGGGCGTTCTTTTGTGAAGACACTGCAGAGGTCCGGAAGTCTATATTTTCCATATCGAGGTAAGAAACGCAGAAAGCAACGCAATCAAGACCCATCTGCAACGCAAACAAATGGAAACTTTTCATCCGCAAATGTCACCGACAACCAAGACAGACGCAAAGTACCTCGCAGACGATCGGCAATGTCGAAATTGGTTCAACTTTTGCCGATCGATGGTTACGCATTGTCTTTGCAATCTGCATAAACCTTAGCGACGGTGTGAATATAGGCTTTACACTAAAGCTAACATTTGCCAACGTTGGGAACGGTTGCGCAAGTGGGGCCGACTGTTTGCCAGGAACGTTGGCGAACGTTAATAGCAACAAAGGCGAACGATCTTCCCTATAGACTGGACCACGTCGTTATGTTTTCCAATATGGCCAATACACACAAAGAACGGTTACGAACATGCCATGCGCTGAAATTTTCCGTTTTCAACATCCCAAGTATAAGTTCATTTAAATCACTTCCAATAACCATTAATATATTAAGTCGCAATTATTTTTTGAAGGATTTTAAAATCTTCTATCATTATCGTAGGGCCTAAAGCCCGGTTCATACTTCATGCGAATGCGAAGCGAATTTGACGTCATGAAACATTCGCTGCGAAATGCGCCCGAGTTGAAATGTGTTCAACTTATACGAATTCGCAGCGCAAATACTTACTAACGTCACAAATTCGTGTTCGCTTTCGCTTTCGCGCAGACTCGGACAATGAACCGGGCTTAACCAATGATCGCGAACACGTTCGCGTTAATTTTACAGGAACGCACCCGCGCGTACGTGCACCAGAATACAGTTTTTAGTAAATTTCCCCAACAGATAGATGCTCTACCTGAAGTAGTCAACGCCGTACGTGGCTCCAACGTGGAGGTGTATCTTGACGGAGGAGTACGTAAAGGCACCGATGTCCTCAAGGCCCTTGCTCTGGGAGCACGAGCCGTCTTCATCGGCCGACCTGCACTCTGGGGGCTCGCTTACGATGTAAGATTTGTTTTGTATCGATTCTATATAAGCTATATGATTATATGCTCCTCCATAAAGTTGACACCCCAAAAACACAAGTTCTCTTCTTTTTTTTTGGTCGTCACTTTAGGGCTGAACTGATTATGTGTTTGCAATTGGGAAATCGGACGTAACAACTCGAGTCCCCGTTATATATATATATATATATTTTTTTTTGGGGGGGGGGGGGGGAGAATATTTGACATGGAATTTGCGTTATATAAACGCAATATATGCGCAATATAAACGCAATATCCAACGTTTGTTATTAAAAATTATGATTAACTAAAAACAAAAAGGAAACACGACCAAAGATATTGGAGGGAAAAAACCTGTCCCGTCATCACGCATCAGTCCCTTTTAACAGTCCCATATTTGTTTTTAATAAAAACACGGGGTGGTTTATCTTTGTTTTAATCTGCCAAGAAAAAGAGGCACCTGCTAATTTTGAAGTCCTTGTGCGTTTTGAAAGAAATATTTATCACCCTTTTCTCTTTTCCATCCATGTTCAGGGGGAGGCAGGGGTTAGAAAGGTTCTGGAAATCCTTCGAGAGGAGTTGAGCAGAGCTATGGCGCTAACTGGTATGGCATCTTCGTTTATTTCTAAATTATACCATTTACATCTTCTTAAGCCCTAACTCCCTAGGCATTTTTGATAGGATGCAACGTCAATCCTTCAAAATCCTCCAACTGCCTCCGTAAAAAATTGCATTCAGCCACAATCTTCCAAAATCCTCCCATATTTCTTGATGTGGTCCTGGGAGGGGTGACCACTGCCTCAATCCTGCGAATCCTCCAGCAATCACTGCCACCTTGTTGAGGCAGAGCCAGTGACATCCTGAAGCAGTGCGGAGGATTTCAAGTAGAATCTAGGCCAACATTTATGCATGGCTGAGTATAAACAACACAAGGTCCAGCCCAAGACCTTGACACAGTGCATCCTCCAAAATCAGCCACACATTTTTGCCATAGCCTCAATCCTTGGCCAAGTTCGCGCAAGGACTATAGTTGACCAATGGTTAACCATAGTTCGACTAACGCTTGCCCGAACTCTGTCTAGTCGACGGTGGTTGACTACGCTAGTCGACTATTTGGAACCAACCTACTGGGGCTGGTTGCATCGCTGGTAACCAATAGCCGCGCGCATTCATAATGCTAGCAGAGAGCCAGGATCCAGAAGTTTTTCGATGACATTTTGACCAGCGTTTGACTGGAGACGTTCGCACGGTGCTATCAGTGCGCAGGCGTAAGGTACGTCACAAATCAACCACTAGTCGACTAATGGTCCTTGCCCGAACTTGGCCTTTGGAAACTCTCCACTTATGCGAGGAGGATTTTGGAGGATTTGGGAAGGTTGATAGGTTAATTTCTTCTGAATTTAGCCGCAGCATAGCTTTCTCACGATCTAGTACAATCTAAGTATGAAAACGTTGAGGTTTCTATTTTTCTTTTCGGTTTTTAGGTTGTTCTTCGATAGCTGACATTACGCCAGATCTGATAAAAATGCCATCGCAGTGACTTGACATTGAAGCAACACGAGTATTTCTACTTCACGGGCGAATTCAGTAATCTGACTGGAGGGTGGCTAAAAATGTAGCCAGTAAACGGAACGCTGGAGCTCAGGAGCATTCGTAGAGTGGGAGTAAAAAAGAAAGAAAGAAGGGGTGGGGGTATGGGGTGGTGTTGCTGGGGGGGGGGGGGGGAGAGGACGGTTAGTCTTGCCTTGGGGAGCTATACAGTGCTATTGATGCCCTGCTCATTATACGACCCACGTGGTCGTATTCTAATGGTAAAAATTCTAGTAGCCGCATTTGAGGTTTCAATGTTCAGGTTATGGTTCGAGACGCTACTGATCGAATGTGGATCGCCTCGCGCAGGCACCACGTGCATACGTTTGTTAATCTGCAGTAGTGCGCCCTCACAAGACATCCAACCGCTCGCACAAGCATCATTCATGGGAAGTTGAATGGAGAATTTAAGCTTTTCTTAATTTTGTCACAGGCTTCAGTGGCGTAAGGGAGAAACTTCTGGGGAGCACCAGCAGAGGTTGCATAAATTTAAAATGGGGGTGGGGGCACTAAAGGCAGATGATATATACCATTTGCCCAATGAAAATATCATTGAACCAAGACATATCTTGAACCACGATATATATCTTTGTTCAATTCAAGATTTTAAATATGGGGGGGGGGGGGGGGGGAAGCGACACCCGGAGGCATGGATGTGTGCTGGTGTGTGTGTGTACATGTGGGGGAGGGGGGGGGGCACGTAATGTAATATAGGTTTAATTAACTGCTAATTGCTTATTAAAATCTTTTTAAAATGAGTTGATAATTAATGTTCATTGCTTTCATTTAGAAAACTTGAAACTCAACGACGATGTTGTGCATCAAGTATACTCGGATCGTATGGGCGAACTTTTGCTGCGTCATGTACTATTTTGAATTTGACGACCGTTACCGAGATTTTCCAAAACTCTGTCTTCATTCGGCTCCGCCTGCTAACAGTGCTATTTGGGTGCCTAATTTTGAAGATTCCAGATCAACATTAGTCAATATTATCTTACAGAAATATCAAACTGTATTATCATAACTGTAAGATATAACGAAGCAAGTGATTTATTAAAAAAATTGATCAAAAAATTAAAAGCTATAAGTGATATAGCGAAATCGGAAACGAAGCCGAGATTTGAAAAAGGGCCATCAATGTCGTCATGCTTATTTTTAGCCACGGAGGCTGCCTGACCTCAACCTCGACCCCAGGGTGTCGAGCAGTACGCGCCCATCACTACATGCTCTCTCACCCTGGTATTGGATCATTTGCATGTGCAAGATTTTTGAACACATATGCAAATGAGGAATAGTCTGGTGCCTGCAGGTGCGTTACATTATCGTTCGTTCTTGTATGCGGTGTCTGGGATAAAAACAGAGTCAATTCTTTGCAGCACGAGCACAGCGTGAGTTACGAAAACACGATTTATTTAATTAAACTGTTACGATCTTATCGAGACAACATGCGGTATCACATTTCATATTAATATGCACAAATTGGAAAGGAAATGAGTATTTTCGAGAAGGCGTGGACGAATGATCGCGAAAACACGTACTGCACGTTGTGAATAACAATACCAAGTACACGATAAAAATCCATTACTAGCCGATTGCGATATCGAATCAGGATACAGGAAGAAAGTTTCCTATCCAGGGCTTACTATTGGAAACTAGGTTGGAAATAAAGTAAGCACTGGGGACGAGGTTGGCCTGACCTACAATTTAGACGTGAGCGTCTGGGAATAATTGTCAGGTCTGGGAACCAGACTAAGAGTTTAGGCGGTTGGAAAAGAGGTCGATACGTACGTTGCTGCGTAGCAAGCGCTAGCCTTGACCAAGGCTATCAGCTTGTTCCCATACGAACTTGTTCCCGCTACCGCACACCGCGCGCGCCACGACACAATCACTAGTTGTACTATACCGTTAGCCTCAACGACCCTTGCGTGTGCTTTGTGTGCATGTACGTACGCCCCCCACACACTTCCGCAAATAGCCGTACGTACAGCAAGTCGAGGCGGAAGATATCGTCTGCCTCGACTTTACTGTACGGCTGTTTGCGGAAGTGAGTGTGGGGCGTACGTACATGCACACAAAGCCCACGCAAGGGTCGTTGGGGCTAACGGTATAGTACAACATTGTGTTGCTGCGCGCGCGGTGTGCGGTAGCGGGAACAAGCTCATATGGGAACAACTGATAGCCTTGGTCAAGGCTAAGAAAGCGCTGGAAAATACACACTAAAGTTATGCCAGTGTTCACCGTTGATCGTTAGAGGTGCCAAAATATTAGTACATCTGTCCTTCATCAGGGCTGATGAAGGACAAAGATGTCCGAAAATTTGGCACCTCAACGATGAACGGTGCAGCACTGTTATAACTATTATATATTGTCAGAGTTTAGAAGTAGCCTACTTCTAATCCCTTAACTCTGACAATATAATTTAGGCCTATTGGTTTCAAGTTGGAGTTAGTAACTGCAAGCTTGTATTTATGTGTAATTTTGATGGAATTGGGCCATGGCTTATTATCAATGGAGTGTAGTGATCATTTTTCAAGAGGGCAATTGTCTTCGCCACCACTTTTAGCGGGTGGTAATCTTCGGTTGGCAATGTGTCCCAAAAGTTATCAGATTTACCCCCCCCCCCCAACATAAAAAAATAGAACTTCGCCATCGCAGAGTTGCTCAACCAAACCTGTGAATTTGTGTATTATTATGCAGCATATAATAGGCCTAGAGAGGGTGTACGTGAATGGATAAACCTTTATCCAAGTGGCCTTAAAATAAATACCCAAGACTGTTGTGTACAAAAAAAAATTGCCCATGTCCCGACCCCTGAAAACCCCCAAACAAAATAAAAAACGCATGCGCAGGGCGCCGCCATTTTGAATTCCGATGGCTTCAGACATTTCAATCGACTCCCATAGAGTGATAATTACACGCACTTCCAGTTTTTTTTAATGCTCACAACTCTTGATCGCCAATGCGTTTGAAATGTTAATCAATTAAATCTAGTTGAGTTGTTGCCCCCCCCCCCAAACGCCGTAGAATATGTTAAGTTTCGTTCAATAGAGGGCGCGCCACATAAATAGTGGTCTCAACAACGCGTCAACACGGATGCTGCAAAATTGAACAAAGAGAAGAAACTCGTTTCCGATGAAATACTCAAGAAATTAGACGTTGAATAAAACTAGTGGTCTCCATTAGGATTGTATTTGTCGCAATTAAAACCCTGTATTGTTACGGTCATAATAACTTGATTGTTATCAATGCTCGCCATTGAAAATATGGCACGAGCCCCACACCTCCCCCCATCCCCCCTATTGATTTTCGGAGGCCTAAGTGTCTGGAGAAAATAACCGGTCTACATTTCAGCACGCCTCCCTGAAAAAAATCTGTATCCACCCTGCTACCCCCCCCCCCCCTACAAAAAATGGCTCTAGAACCGCGCCTGCTAAAACAGGCCTTATACGATCAAATTCTTCTATATTTAATACAGGGTTCTGAGAGCCATGGAATTGGGAAAAAATATGGCAATGCACCTCTGGCCCGGACTTGGGGCTTCCAATTCAGAGCATTATATGTAGGACTATCCTAGGTCTGATTCTTGCCCCCTGAATACAAAATCGCAACGATAATGTTAGCGCGGAACCAGCCTATCGCAAAATGGAAACACGGCTATCACCAATATGCAGTTTGTTTGGTGATGAGCTTCGATTTTCGCTGAATTCGAAAGTGTCTCTGGCAATTATCAGTACTTTTTAGCATTTGAAACCTATGCAGTTGAAGTGTGTTTGAAAGTTGCCTTTGTGGAGACACTGGCGATTTTGCCTACTGGTTATGATAAGAGTCAGGTTTTTTAGATAAGCCATGTGTTCAACTGTCGTCCATGATGTAAACATCATTTTTCAGAAAATAAATAATCATGGTGCGCACGCGCAGAGGTAATCCAATCAATGGCTTTAAATGAAAACTAGCTACCGGTCCCCATATTATGGAAGCGGGAACCAGCCTAGTCTTCCCATGGGTCTCCCTCACCGTAAGGCTCCTGTGCCATGAATATGCATTAGCGTTAATATTAATCGTAGCCAATGATCGTGCATCAATGAGCCTGCCTGAGCCCCGGCGCGGGCGTTATGCTGAATCGCACTCGATAGGCCTATGATTAGTGCGTTGAATGTAACCAGGCAAAAAGTGTGTTCTGGTGGTAAATATCTACATTTTGAAACATTTGTCACGTTGGATTTCGAACCCTGCAGTAAAAAACCAAACCGGACTAAATTCTATCAGGAGGAAGTAACCGAGCCTGTCATCAGGATGCGGCGTCTTGCCCTGGCGGCACTTGTTGCTTGCGTCTTTGGTAAGTCGCATTTATTTTACTTCAATCTTTTTCTCCAAACATTTGATTCTATGGGCAGCGACACGACCCCCTCAATTCATTTTTGTTTAGTAAGCCTTTAATTTCAATTCGTTTTTTTACGGGCCGTTAAATTGCAATTAGATTAACCATTATGCCAGTAATAATCACTCTCCTGACCGGAACTTCGAGTTTATATCTCTGGTTCTCTTCAGAACCATTCTCTTAGTTGAGAAATTATTCCCACATGGTGTTTCCTCAAACCTTTCATTCATTAGTATCTCCACCATGCATGCAAAGCCTCCAATCTTACTCATAATGTCAGTGAAAAGACTGTTACAGCGCTGAAGCTGCTTTTGGCAAATTGCAGCACCAAGACAATATTTCTCGACGACACATTAACCTCAATAATGATCATTCATTGAACATACGTTCACATGATGTCAAAAATTGGTGATTTGTTTGACGACTCCAATTCTATAGGCATCATGATACTATAATCTTTCCGTACTTCATTACGTTACTGTCCTTTTTAGACTTTATACTTATACTTCAGTACATTAAATATTTAGAATATTAAGTCAACAAACTGCTGATGATTTTTCTGTTTTATTTTTTTGCTTGAAATTAGGCCGATTCTTGAATGGCATTAAAATTAAAACAAATCGGATTTATTTGATTGAAATGCAGA